GACTGGTCATTCAACTGAGACTGCTCTTCTCTGTGTCACAGAGACTCTCCGCACTGCTAAAGCTAACTCTCTCTCCTCTGCTCTTGTCCTTCTAGACCTGTCTGCTGCCTTTGATACTGTGAACCATCAGATCCTCCTCTCCACCCTCTCCGAAATGGGCATCTCCGGCGCGGCTCACTCCTGGATTGCGTCCTACCTGACCGGTCGCTCCTACCAAGTGGCGTGGCGGGAAGCTGTCTCCGCACCACGTGCTCTCACCACTGGTGTCCCCCAGGGATCGGTTTTGGGCCCTCTCCTTTTCTCCCTATACACCAAGTCACTTGGCTCTGTCATATCCTCACATGGCCTTTCCTATCATTGCTACGCTGACGATACACAACTAATCTTCTCCTTTCCCCCTTCTGATAACCAGGTGGCGAATCGCATCTCTGCATGTCTGGCAGACATATCAGTATGGATGACGGATCACCACCTCAAGCTGAACCCTGGCAAGACGGAGCTGCTCTTCCTCCCGGGGAAGGACTGCCCGTTCCATGATCTCGCCATCACGGTAGACAACTCCGCTGTGTCCTCCTCCCAGAGTGCGAAGAGCCTAGGCGTGACCCTGGACAACACCCTGTCGTTCTCCGCCAACATCAAGGCGGTGACCCGCTCCTGCAGGTTCATGCTCTACAACATTCGGAGAGTGCGACCCTGCCTTACACAGGAAGCGGCGCAGGTCCTGGTCCAGGCACTTGTCATCTCCCGTCTGGACTACTGCAACTCGCTGTTGGCTGGGCTCCCTGCCTGTGCCATTAAACCCCTACAACTCATCCAGAATGCCGCAGCCCGTCTGGTGTTCAACCTTCCCAAGTTCTCTCACGTCACCCCCCCTCCTCCGCACACTCCACTGGCTTCCAATTGAAGCTCGCATCCGCTACAAGACCATGGTGCTTGCCTTTGGAGCAGTGAGGGGAACGGCACCCCTGTACCTTCAGGCTCTGATCAGTCCCTACACCCAAACGAGGACATTGCGTTCATCCACCTCTGGCCTGCTGGCTCCCCTTCCTCTGCGGAAGCACAGCTCCCGCTCAGCCCAGTCAAAACTGTTCGCTGCTCTGGCACCCCAATGGTGGAACAAGCTCCCTCACGACGCCAGGACAGCGGAGTCACTCACCACCTTCCGGAGACATTTGAAACCCCACCTCTTTAAGGAATACCTGGGATAGGCTAAAGTATTCCTTCTAACCCCCCCCCCAAATTGTAAAGTGGTTATCCCACTGGCTATAGGGTGAACGCACCAATTTGTGAGTCGCTCTGGCTAAGAGCGTCTGCTAAATGACGTTAATGTGCCCTTGAGCAAGGCACTTAACCCTAATTGCTCCTGTAAGTCGCTCTGGTTAAGAGCGTCTGCTAAATGACTAAAATGTAAAAATGTAAATGAAATGTAAAAATGAAACTGCACCTCTTTGGCTTTCAGTATGCTGGGACTGGTTGTGTCCAAACGGCTGGAGAGAGGAAGAAAAGGAATGTTAGAGATTTACGGAGAGAGACAGAAAAGCGGTAGAGGGGGAAAAGAGGGTAAATGAGGCAGGAGTTCTTTGAAAGCCTACAAACTCCAAGACTTTCAAGATCATTGTTGCTTGAAAGGACAAAAGCAGAAGGGTTGAAGGGACTAGCAAATAAATATTTATTAAATGTAGAGTTTCAGTAGCCTCACTACCAGACTTACACAACTGGTTCTAGAGTAAAGTTTCAGACAGTGACATTTGTCAGGCATGATGTTAGCAAAACATTGCAAGGACACACAGTGTGCGAAGGGGAATCCATTCAAGCGTTGTGTGTTTACCTTGCGTCCGTAGAGGCTCTGGTAGAAGATGACCCCCACCGACCACACGTCCACCTTGTTGGAGATCTTAACATGTTGGTTTCATGTTTCATGAGCTGAAATAAAAGATCCCAGAAATGTTCCATGCACAAACTGTCAGAAACCGTCTCAGGGAAGGACATCTGTGTGCTCGTCGTCCTCACCAGGGTCTTGACCTGACTGCCGTTTGGCGTCGTAACAGACTTCAGTGGGCAAATGCTCACCTTCGATGGCCACTGGCACCCTGGAGAAGTGTGCTCTTCAAGGATGAATCCGTTTCAACTGTACCAGACAGATGGCAGACAGTGTGTATAGCGTCATGTGGGTGAGAGGTCTGCTGATGTCAACGTTGTGAACTGAGTGCCCAATGGTGGCAGTGGGGATATGCTATGGGCAGGAATAAGCTACGGACAACGACACACTTGCATTTTATTGATGGCAATTTGAACGCACATCGATACCGTGATGAGATCCTGAGGCCCATTGTCGTGCCATTCATCCGTCGCCATGTCGGCCCCATGTCGCAAGGATCTGTACACAATTCCTGGAAGCTGAAAAAGTCCCAGTTCTTCCATGGCCTGCATACTCACACATTGAGCATGTTTGGGATGCTCTGAATCGATGTGTATGGCAGCGTGTTCCAGTTCCCGCCATTATCCAGCAACTTCGTACAGCCATTGGAGTGGGACAACATTCCACAGAACACAATCAACAGCCTGATCAACTCTATGCGAAGGAGATGTGTCGCGCTGCATGAGGCAAATGGTGTTCACACCAGATACTGACTGGTTTTCTGATCCAAGCCCCTGGTGATCTTGATCTCGCCGCATGCCGTGCTGTTCACCAAGAGGATGTTGCCTATGGAGAGGGAGATATGGGAAATGTAGTCAAACACACATTGTGATGAATCTTTTGATTATTGAGAGGTAATTTGTGAGTAAGCAGTTCATTGTATTTCATACATATGGTCAATATTCCCTCTAAGTTGCATGCGTTGCGTGGGCGCGCAGAAGCGGAGACTGCCGCGCAGAAGAAATACAATATCAGCCCACGGAGAGAAGCATGAGATTGAACTTTACTCAACTTTCTAAAGTTTTCCCTGTTAGTTAACACTATCAATGTTTCCCTTTACTGTGGCAATTGTGATTGAATCAACGCAATATTAGTCACTTTCAATGCAACATACCGAAACAAAACTAACTATGCAAGAGATTTTGTTGTAGGCAGAATGCATGGAGCAGGATTCTATTGCACTGACACGCACGACTTAGCCCGTACTCTACACAGACCGGTGCGGTATAACCAATCAGAGCTGCAGTAGACCTATATACAAATAGACCACTGCCGTATACGGATCTGTGCCACTTACTTACTCAAAGTGAGAGCTGCATGTTGCCATGTGTGCACATTTTGCTAATATCCTTTGCTAGTTAGTTATTAGCCCAGTTATAGATAATTTGTAGTCAGCATTAGGGGAGGGATTGCTTCCTACAAGAGCACAAAACGTATACATTTCTAGACATCTTTGAAAAGAGAGTCAGGTAAAGAGCTTTTTTTTTTGTATTAAAGGCAGTGTTTTGAGACAGGCTTGAATAAGCTAAGTAACCAATAGGCAAAGGGTAGCATAATTTGTCTAATTCTCTGTAATAATGGTATGGGAATAATAACGTAATTTATTTTGTAAAGTGGTTTCTTGCATCAAAAAACATTTTAAGTCACCTCAAGTGGATAAATGGGTTAATGTCAAGCCCTGCATGTTTTTTCCCCAAAAGTCTCATGGAATGTAGGTCTACATTGAACACCACACATTGGCTGCTACTTTAGGCTGAATGATAGAACAGCTATTTCCATGTTAAAATGTTATGGGATGCATTTTCGCCATAGTTGATGGTAGGCCACTCTGGTAGGCCTATGTTATGATAAAATAGCCACAGTAGCCTACTCGGCCACTTAAAACTAACTAAAAGCGGGTACAGCCTCAGTGTTTACAGTAAACGCGTGCTGGAAGTTGCACAGAATTTTCACAACGTTCAAGTTTGAGCTCAGCAGACCTGAAATTTGCTCAGTGCTGAAAAAAATTAGAGGGAACATTGCATATGATAAATACATTTTACCTAAGACAATAAACGTCAACCTGCCTTTAATCTTTGGGACCATGATCAAATCAAATCAAATTTTATTTGCCACATGCGCCGAATACAACAGGTGTAGACCTAGACCGTAGAGTGAAATTCTTACTTACAAGCCCTTAAACAACAATGCAATTAAGAAAAAAAATAGATCAGTAAAAAATACAAATGACAGATAATTAAAGAGCAGCAGTAAAATAAAATAACAGTAGGGAGACTATATACAGGGGGTACCGGTACAGAGTCAATGTGCGGGGCATAAATCAGGTGTGCTAGTGCTTTGCAGTGAGAACGAGTTTGGTAATTGGAATGGAATGCAGAAAAAGAGATGAAGGCAAAGGGGAGCGTACGTGGAGTTGTCCTCGTTGTGGATCCTCTTTAGCTCCCGGATGTGGAGGTTCCTGACACGCTCCAACCTCTCCAGCTCTGCCTGGATCTCTGCCTCCTCCTACAGGAGACACACACACTTGTTAGTCTGATGACAGTATTGTTTGGATTTATTGTGTATTGCATTTCTCCTATGTTTCTTGCAGAGATGACAGCAAAAGGAGGACAGTACCTTCTTTAGATGCCCAAGCCGGAGTTTGAAAATCTCCTCCTGCTCGTGATATTCTGCAAGCGACAACCTGTGTGGTTCAAAGACAAAGGGTCAACTTTAAAACAAAGTCATCTTCTTTCGTTTCATGTCTACTGAACACTCTCCCAGTTAGGTGCTTAATTAATGGACCAGCTACACCTGTGTGGAAGCTTGCACCTGAACAACTTGGATGTGCATATTTTACCCTTGTTGGATTCTAGCTTGAAATAGACTTATTCATGTTACCATACTAGAACTTATTGATTACTTTACATGTATAATGAATGTATATGTTGGTGTCAATGGAGGGTGGATAATAACTATGTGTATGGAAAGTTACTGAGTGAGACAATGGGGGTATATATCTGCACGATATAATTCAATTTCACAAATGAATCCCTTATCCTCCCCTGGCCTGTGTGGGTGATGTGTGTCCGTGTGCTCCAGGTACCAGAAGGAGTACAGTGAGTTCAAGCGGCAGCAGCTGGAGCTGGATGACGAGCGTGGACAACCAGATGCGCTACTGCCAGATCCAACTGGACCACCTGAAGAAGACCAACATCCTCCCTCGTAAGCAAGCTACGCCAACCAGCCAATAAGATGCCATTTTGAGTAGGTGAAGGCAAGACAAAACCAAAAACCCATTGGCTTAACAATAAAGTGGCAAGGGGAGTCACCAACATAACTATGTTACAATCCCTCCTACTGAATTCCACTTGCAAAGAAAAATAATAAAAATACAAAACGGCACTGGGCAAACATACCAAGTACAGAAACACTCAACATATGTACAGAATAATTCAGAGAGAGAAAATAAAAAAAACTTTTTATAGATATATTTTTATACTACCTAATATAGAAAACTAAAAGGTAAAGCTGTGTATATCGAGGATGCAGACCCTGCTTTAAAACAGTCACTAAATATTCCAGTCATTAGACTATTCTCCTTGAGAATTAGAGTGAAAAGCGTTTGATCAATCCCCTTAGCCCTCATAGGTAAACATGCCTGTTACATGTTAAGTACACTCAGTGACTTTAAAACATCCAAGTAATAAAATAAACAACCATAAGAGACTTTATCATATCCGTCACATTACCATCCTGCAACCTCTAATCATGGTCACAATGATGTAAAACAAAACAAATAAAAGATGTCAATACCATTCACATACTAACCTTCAAGAGCTAACTTTCTGCTGATTCATAATCTCAATCAGTCTAGACACTGGTTTAAATATTCTTCCTGCCCTTGACCTAATACGACCCCGAGTACCTTCAACTGCATAAGGGGTAACAGTGTTGTGTACTGTTGCAATAGTGGGTCTGTCAACAGAGTCAGTGCGTAACTGATCAGGTAAGGAATGGTCCGAGTTTGGTAGGTCAGTATGGATATCTTAAGCAGACTGGTCAATTATCTCTCTCACTACACTGTTACGGTCTCGGTCAGATTCTTGAAGACTCTCTGATGGAGGCAGACCTTCCAGCTGCAGTATATCTTCCACAGAATCCAAAGGTGGAATATCCTGAGCTTCCAAGGATCGCACATCACCCTCCAGGCTTGTGTCACCTATTCCTTCAGAAGGCAACTCTGACACCCACACTCTTGTTCTGTACTCAGCATCATCATCCACTGCAGTGTCCATGGCAGCTGAGACCACAAAGCTGTCATTCATGTCCTCAGACTCTGTTAATCCAGACATGTCTGTTCCCTCATCAACGGCAGCATGGGGAAGAGGAAGAAAGTTGACTGGCATTATCAGGTTGCGATGTACCGTCTTCTCCTGTCCAGTGGAGCTGTTCTGAATCTTAAAAGTGTGACTGTCAGCATTCAATCCAGTGACAAGGTAGACAGTATCCTCCCAACGGTCAGCGAGCTTCCGCTTTCCTCGCTCCCCCTTGTTAGCCAGCAACACTCGATCCCCAATCTCCACTGGTGCTCCTCTGACTCTTCTGTCACAAAGGTCAGCGTGCCTCTTCAACTGCTTCGCGGCAGATGCCTGTGCTGTATTCATGGCTTCTTTCAGATCTCTCCTCAAAGACTGAACGAATTGATCAAAGTCGACAACTTCTGGGTCCTCTATGACAGAGCCAAAGACTATGTCAACAGGCAGTCTTGGCAAAGCCTGTGGTCTCGTGGATGGTACAATTGTACGCAAACGTGAGGGACTTCAGCGCCTGAGGCCATCTGTGCTTTGCTCTCGTCGGCAGGGCCTGGATCATGTTTCCCAATGTCCTATTCATCCTTTCACAGGACCCGTTCCCCATCGGATGGTACGGCGTGGTGTGAGACTTCTGAACACCTGCAACACTCAACAGTTCGGCTATTAAAGCGCTCTTAAAGTTGGCTCCCTGGTCTGAGTGTATACGGCGAGGCATCCCGTAGACACAGAAATAGTTGTTCCACAACTGATGAGCTACTGACTTAGCAGACTGGTTCGGGCACAAGAAGGCATGAGCCAATTTGGTAAAGTGGTCAGTAACAACGAGCGCATCCAAGGACTTGTCTGAAGAATCTTCTGCAGACCAAAAGTCTATGCACACTAGTTCAAGAGGCTCAGTTGTTATTATGCTCTCAAGAGGAGCTCTTGCTTCCGGATCAGGAGTCTTGCTCACGACGCATCTCCTGCAGCACTTCACATATGCTTTTACCTCCCTCTCCAGGCCATGCCAGAAGAACCTCTGTCTTGTCAGGTAGACTGTTCTCTGTTGGCCCTGGTGGCCAGCTTCATCATGGACACCCTTCAACACCATTGCTTTCATGGAGGCTGGAACCACATACAGATACATCTTCCTCTTTGTAACCACATTCTTCGAAACACGATACAGTACACCCATCTTCATGGTCAACTCGTCCCTAAGAAGACACAAAACCTCAACACTCTCATGGGCACGCTCTCTCCGGGATGGTCTTCTCCCCCTCTCCACAAAGAAGATCACTCTGCTGATCACGTTGTCATCACGCTGCTTACTCATCAGTAGGTCGTGTGGCAGAACATCGACATCGGTCTGCTCTGATGGCATAACAGCCTGTGGAAGCTGTGGCAACAGTAGTGCATGTGAGCCCACTTCACCCACCCAGCACCTGTGTGAATGAAGAACAGCTGCAACTTCATGTCTTGATAAAGCACCAGATGGGGGGTCAACAGTAGCCTGACAGTTAATGACCACTTCGTTGGAGTCAGAGGCTTTGTCAAAGGGGTGGCTGGACCAGCGAAACACATCTTGCACTCTGTCTGTGCGCACAGCGTTAGCTTCAGCTAGTAAGGTCTTGTACAGGACCCTTGTCAGGCGATGGAGTGCACTGGGTCGTACGAAGGGCTCTCTGCTCAAAGCATCTGCAACAACATTTATTTTTCCAGGGATGTACTTGATGTCAAACTCGTACGGTGCCAGCTTGGCGACCCATCTCTGTTCACAAGCATCAAGCTTTGCTTTGGTCAGAATGTATGTCAAGGGATTATTATCCGTCCATTCCATGAACTGCTGTCCCCGTAGCCAGTGGTGGAACTTGTCACAGATAGCCCATTTCATGGCAAAGAACTCGAGCCGGTGCGCAGGATACCTCGACTGCGCATAACTGAGGGACTTGCTTGCGAATGCTATAGGTCTCGCTGTAGCTCCCTGTTCCTGCACCTGGGACAGCACAGCACCTAAGCCGTTGCTGGACGCATCCACCGAGAGTAGAAAGGGTTTGTCGAAGTTGGGGTGGGCCAACAAAACCTGGTCCAGTAAGGCTTGCTTTAGCTGGAATAAGGCCTGTCTGCATTCTGTTGTCCAGTCGGCAGCCGTCAACTTCCTGACAGGTGAGCGTCGCTTCTTTTTCCAGCGTGGAGCCTTGTGTCCAGTAGTCAATCCAAAGAGAGGCTTTGCGATGGTCGAGCAACCTTCAATAAACTGTTGATAATACACCACCAAGGAATGACCTCAATTTCTTCTGAGATGGAATGTCAGTGCCATCTTCCATCAGATCAGCTACTGTTACTCCTGTAATGGCCCTCACCTTCTCAGGGTCTGTAGCTACACCATCCGCACTAATGATATGCCCCAGAAACTTCACAGACCTCTGCAGAAAGTTACACTTTTTAGGCGCCAACTTCAGGTTGTGAGCCTTGAGACGCTCAAAAACCATTTCCAGGCGCTGTATAGCCAGATCTTCAGTGGGTGCATAGACCAAGACATCATCAAGGTAACACAGCAGGCTAAGAAAGTTCTGATCCCCAAAGATGTTTAGCATCATCCTCATAAAGGTTGCAGGACTATTAAATCAAATCAAATTTTATTGGTCACATGCGCCGAATACAACAGGTGCAGACATTACAGTGAAATGCTTACTTACAGCCCTTAACCAACAGTGCATTTATTTTTAACAAAAAAAGTAAAAATAAAACAACAACATCAAAAAGTGTTGAGAAAAAAAAGAGCAGAAGTCAAATAAAATAACAGTAGGGAGGCTATATATATACAGGGGGGTACCGTTGCAGAGTCAATGTGTGGGGGCACCGGCTAGTTGAGGCAGTTGAGGTAATATGTACATGAGGGTAGAGTTAAAGTGACTATGCATAAATAATTAACAGAGTAGCAGCAGCGTAAAAAGGATGGGGTGAGGGGGCAGTGCAAATAGTCCGGGTAGCCATGATTAGCTGTTCAGGAGTCTTATGGCTTGGGGGTAGAAGCTGTTGAGAAGTCTTTTGGACCTAGACTTGGCACTCCGGTACCGCTTGCCGTGCGGTAGCAGAGAGAACAGTCTATGACTAGGGTGGCTGGAGTCTTTGACAATTTTGAGGGCCTTCCTCTGACACCGCCTGGTATAGAGATCCTGGATGGCAGGAAGCTTGGCCCCAGTGATGTACTGGGCCGTACGCACTACCCTCTGTAGTGCCTTGCGGTCGGAGGCCAAGCAGTTGCCATACCAGGCGGTGATGCAACCAGTCAGGATGCTCTCGATGGTGCAGCTGTAGAATTTTTTGAGGATCTGAGGACCCATGCCAAATCTTTTCAGTCTCCTGAGGGGGAATAGGCTTTGTCGTGCCCTCTTCACGACTGTCTTGGTGTGTTTGGACCATGATAGTTCGTTGGTGATGTGGACACCAAGGAACTTGAAGCTCTCAACCTGTTCCACTACAGCCCTGTCGATGAGAATGGGGGAGTGCTCAGTCCTCTTTTTTTTCCTGTAGTCCACAATCATCTCCTTTGTCTTGGTCACGTTGAGGGAGAGGTTGTTGCCCTGGCACCACAAGGCCAGGTCTCTGACCTCCTCCCTATAGGCTGTCTCATCGTTGTCGGTGATCAGGCCTACCACTGTTGTGTCGTCGGCAAACTTAATGATGGTGTTGGAGTCGTGCCTGGCCATGCAGTCATGGGTGAACAGAGAGTACAGGAGGGGACTGAGCTTGCACCCCTGAGGGGCTCCCGTGTTGAGGATCAGTGTGGCAGATGTGTTGTTACCTACCCTTACCACCTGGGGGCGGCCCGTCAGGAAGTCCAGGATCCAGTTGCAGAGGGAGGTGTTTAGTCCCAGGATCCTTAGCTTAGTGATGAGCTTAGAGGGCACTATGGTCTTGAATGCTGAGCTGTAGTCAATGAATAGCATTCTCACGTAGGTGCTCCTCTTGTCCAGGTGGGAAAGGGCAGTGTGGAGTGCAATAGAGATTGCATCATCTGTGGATCTGTTGGGGCGGTATGCAAATTGGAGTGGGTCTAGGGTTTCTGGGATAATGCTGTTGATGTGAGCCATGACCAGCCTTTCAAAGCACTTCATGGCTACAGACGTCAGTGCTACGGGTCGGTAGTCATTTAGGCAGGTTATCTTAGAGTCCTTGGGCACGGGGACTATGGTGGTCTCCTTGAAACATGTTGGTATTACAGACTCAGTCAGGGACAGTTGAAAATGTCAGTGAAGACACTTGCCAGTTGGTCAGGACATGCTCGGAGTACACGTCCTGGTAATCCGTCTGGCCCTGCGGCCTTGTGAATGTTGACCTACTTAAAAGTCTTACTCACATCGGCTACGGAGAGCGTGATCACATAGTCATCCGGAACAGCTGGTGCTCTCATGCATGCTTCAGTGTTGCTTGCCTCGAAGCGAGCATAGAAGTGGTTTAGCTCGTCTGGTAGGCTTGTGTCACTGGGCAGCTCGCGCTGTGCTTCCCTTTGTAGTCTGTAACAGTTTTCAAGCCCTGCCACATCCGACGAGCGTCAGAGCCAGTGTAATACGATTCAATCTTAGTCCTGTATTGACTCTTTGCCTGTTTGATCGTTCGTCGGAGGGCATAACAGGATTTCTTATAAGCGTCCGGGTTAGAGTCCCGTTCCTTGAAAGCGGCAGCTCTACCCTTTAGCTCAGTGCGGATGTTTCCTGTAATCCATGGCTTCTGGTTGGAGTATGTACGTACGGTCACTGTGGGGACGACATCATCGATGAACTTATTGATGAAGCCAGTGACTGATGTGGTGTACTCCTCAATGCTGTCTGAAGAATCCCGGAACATGTTCCAGTCTGTGCTAGCAAAACAGTCCTGTAGCTTAGCATTACATTACATAACCCCTGTGGCATACGATTGTATTCGTACAATCCAAATGGCGACGTAAAAGCTGTGAATCTCCGGTCATCCTCATGCACTTCCACATTGTAGTAGCCAGAGGTAAGATCCATTGTCGAGAAAAAGGCATTTCCACCTAAAGCAGCCAGCGCATTAGCCTGGTGAGGGAGTGGGTGTGCATCCTTGATGGTGCGAGCATTGAGCAAACGAAAATCAGTACAGTCTCAGGTCTCCAGATTTCTTCCATACAAGGACAAGGGGAGAGGTGAACTCACTACTAGACTTCCTTATGATTTCACGTTCTTCCATCTCATTCAATGCTTGCTTGCGCTTCTCATAATGATTTGGTGAAAGGCGTCGGTAGGGCATCCGAAAGGGTTTCTCATCACTCAGTTGAATGCGGTGAAGACATCCAGAAGCTTTTCCACAATCCAACTTGTGCCTGGAAAAAATGGACTGGTACTCAGCTGTGAGCTTGATGAGTTTCTTCTTACCAGCAGGGGACACTTGACAGGAGTCGACATCAATATCAGTCAAACCTAAGTCACGTAAGACCTCAGGACTGCTTGAACTGTCAGGTCCGTCAGTATCGTGAAGTTGGCTGGAACCGTCATCAGTCAGTGTCAAGTCATCTTGGAAGTCAGTGAGTATATCAGCCGTTCTCTGCACTTGCAGCTGAAAAGCTGCTGATGAATCATCATTCACACACAAACAGTCAAAGTCCTCTAGAGCCATGCAAGGAAAGACATCGGCTAGAGTGGCGTTTCGTCTCAATGTCACTGTCTTCTGAGAAGGGTTTATCACTCTAACAGGGAGCCACCCATCCCCCCGCAATAGAGCTACTGTCCTCCCTACCAGGATTGACCTTGGTGTTGACCTTGAACTGCTGGGCTCAATGAAAACAGTACTGCCCGCTGATAGATTCTGAGTGTTTCGTAGTCTGCCCCAGACTAAGTGCTCCTGCATAGGCTCTAGTCTCACAGTTCCAACTTTGTCAGGTACTTCACTATCTCTCCACATTAGCCATCATGTTGATTAGCTTGCTCTCCTCACCCCCATCACACACAGGAGTATAAACCCTCTTCCAGAGATCTCCATTAGTCTTCAGGTGGCGAATCAAGTGCTTTAGGAGATTGCTGCTCCAAGATGAGGTCATCACTCTGGCCTTCAACCACCAGTGTAGGCATGGCAACTCTACAGCCGTACACCTCCATCTCCAGCTCACATACTCCCGAAGGCCTCGTCTTCAACCCACCACACCAACCAAGACTACCTCTGTAGGACTCAATGATGGACTTTTCAACAGGTAAGACCCCAGAGCTCAAGGTACAAGCCATGGACCCACTGTCAAGCATAGCTCTCACTTCTACTTCTCCTATTAACACCTTGGCATAGAATAAATCATGATATGGGGAAAGTCTCTGTGTGTTCTGCATTATGATACTCTTCTCAGTCTCCATTTCGTCACAAACACTTTTATATACAGACTCCAAATCAACAGCTCTCGCCGATGGGGACTCTACAAAAGGCCCAACACTCTCCCCTTCTACATGCAGGCCTGCTAGTTTCCCGGGAGCTGAGCAGTGATTACTGTAGGGACTCCACCAGCTGTGCTCAGAGCTGCGGCCTTGGGGCACTGAGAGCGTGCGTGGCCAGCTACATGACAAAGAAAGTAGAGGTGATTGGCCCTGCAGTGAAAGTAAGTATCACGTCCAGCATCCCCGCACACATTACATGGCCCATTAGACTTCAATTTGCTCCTATTCTCATTTTGGAACTTACGGTCAGACTGTTGTGGCCTCTGCTCCAGCACACGCTCCAGCATTGCAAGGATACGTTCCATCGGCTCAGCTGAGCCCTGAACAGTCTGGGCTGGAGAAGGCAACGCATTAGGTACTACCATGTGGGGCCTCACAGCAGGCATGGTGATTGGCATGACAGCACCAACTTCCTGCTTCATTGTTGCGATGGCTGGGGTCACCTTAGATAAGTGAGAGTACCTCTGCTCCCTCCTGTATTAATCCAACCTCTCATGAACATCTGCAGCGGTCCACTGCTGTAATGGTTTGCACTTAAAGATAAGCGACAGTTCGGCGTTAGGGCAATGTCTGATGAACATGACTGTGAGCTCACGAGATGGGTCTTCAACACTTTTTTTCTGTCTCTTTAGACAATCTTCAGCAACCTCCATAGCCCTGTTCAGTCTGAGCCAATAGTCGAATGGTTGTTCATCAGTCAGAGGTAATGTGGCATAAAAGTCAGCGAGGGGCATGCTTGAAAAAGCAGTGCCACTAAAATGTTGTTTCAGTATGTCAAAGATGGGACTCGGGCCTTTAGATAAATCAATGGAGGGATTGCTGCGTATGCCCACTTTAACAACATCACGGGCCCTTCCCATAAGCCTACCCATAACCTCATCTGCTTGGTCCATCACAGATACGCCCCTCTTACGCATGTAAACCATGACCATATCCTCCCACTCATGCACTGTGCACTTTTCAGAGCCATCCCCCCGAAAGTACACCGGTTCCCTGATATCAGACTGACACATCCATACCCCTAGAGCTGCATGCATTTCCCATTACATTGTCAGCAACATGTCCAACAATTGCCTTTGACTCCAAACAGGAGGTAATGTTCTCCCCAATGGAATGACCAATCTGCTGTACTATGTCTGCTATGAAATCCATGGAGACCTCCCCACTCCCTGCATTTGGCAAAACTCTTTCATACACATCTTTGGGCATTTCCATGGTTAAACTATCATCAAAACTCCCAAAACCCTCCAGTTTAGGCATAGGTGTAGAAGCAACTGGAATTTTGGCTGAACCCCTACCAACAGATGGTGACAGACTAAATGTCAGGAAACCCCTACCTCTCCCAACACCTTCCATCTTAACAATTGGAAATCAACACACTAATAAAAATGTAAATAGCAATATATATATATTTTTTACCTCACGTCAAAATCTAACCTATATTTAGTACACTGGTAAAACTCACCCTACTTATAGAATTGCAAATAAACAAGTAACACAAAAGTTATATCGTTTATCCGTGAAGAGAAAGTCTCAACCATAGAAATCATCCATTTCGATAGTAAAACGCTGCAGTAGCGCCCTCTTGTGGCGAAATGCGATATTGCCATGAACTGCACCAGCAACGTTTTATCTGATTCTTCAAAGGCAACCACGGCGAAATTCTGAGATGGAAATCCAGCGAAGTATGATCCGATCCAGAAGAACGGTCACGGCACTACTGTAATAGTACTCTTCTTGCGTTGTGTACAATCAATCATCAACACGAACTCGTGTTGGTCCTCTGTAGCTCAATTGGTAGATCATGGCGCTTGTAATTCCAGGGTAGTGGATTCGATCCCCGGGACCACCCATACGTAAAAATGTATGCACACATGACTGTAAGTCGCTTTGGATTTTTATTATATCTTGTAACATCATTCATGGAGCTTTATTCTGATAGGAACAGCACAAAATTGCACGTCATGCAATGCACGGCTCACCATCCAACTCTGCACTCACGTACTGTACAAAATATACAACCCCTCCACCAGACACAGTAAGTAGCTAGCTAGTATTAGCTGGAATTCTCTACAACAAAATGCACAACAAATATTCACCAAAAAACACTGCATCTTATGTGTGATGTTCGAATAACATTTACAAACAAATTCATATAAATTATACATTTACATCATCACTTGGGAGCATAAAAATCCCTTTTGATGTACAGTGCTTTGCAACCCGCTGGTTTGGTGCTTGTTCACTGGGACGATTCTAACTGAAACATCCTCCCTCGTAAGCAAGCTACGCCAACCAGCCAATAAGATGCCATGTTGAGTAGGTGAAGGCAAGACAAAACCAAAAACCCATTGGCTTAACAATAAAGTGGCAAGGGGAATCACCAATATAACTCTGTTACATATACATACACTAAAACACACAGACACACATTAATTATTGACCAAAGTATTCACCCCCCTTGGCATTTTTCATATTTTGTTGCCTTACAACCTGGAATTGATTATTTGGGGGGTTTCTATCATTTCATTTACACAACATGCCTACCACTTTGAAGATGCAAAATATGTTCTATTTTGAAACAAACAAGAAATAAGACACAAAAACTGAAAACTTGAGCGTGCATAACTATTCACCCCCCCCAAAGTCAATATTTTGTAGAGCCACCTTTTGCAGCAATTACAGCTGCAAGTCTCTTGGAGTATGTCTCTATAAGCTTGGCACATCTAGCCACGAGGATTTTTCCCATTCTTCAAGGCAACACTGCTCCAGCTCCTTCAAGTTGGATGGGTTCCGCTGGTGTACAGCAATCTTTAAGTCATACCACAGATTCTCAATTGGATTGAGGTCTGGGCTTTGACTAGGCCATTCCAAGACATTTAAATGTTTCCCCTTAAACCACTCGATTGATGCTTTAGCAGTATACTTAGGGTCATTGTCCTGCTGGAAGGTGAACCTCCGTCCCAGTCTCAAATCTCTGGAAGTCTGAAACAGGTTTCCCTCAAGAATTGCTGTATTTAGCGCCATCCATCATTCCTTCAATTCTGACCAGTTTCCCAGTCCCTGCCGATGAAAAACATCCCCACAGCATGATGCTGCCACCACCATGCTTCACTGTGGAGATGGTGTTCTCAGGGTGATGAGAGGTGTTGGGTTTGCGCCAGACATAGCGTTTTCCTTGATGGCCAAAAAGCTTAATTTTAGTCTCATCTGTCCAGAGTCCCTTCTTCCATATGTTTGGGGAGTCTCCCACATGCCTTTTGGTGAACACCAAACGTGTTTGCTTATTTTTTTCTTTAGCAATGGCTTTTTTCTGGCCACTCTTCTGTAAAGCCCAGCTCTGTGGAGTGTACGGCTTAAAGTGGTCCTATGGACAGATACTTCAACCTCCGCTGTGGAGCTCCTTCAGGGTTATCTTTGGTCTCTTTGTTACCTCTTTGATTAATGCCCTCCTAGCCTGGTCCGTGAGTTTTGGTGGGCGGCCCTCTCTTGGCAGGTTTGTTGTGGTGCCATATTCTTTCCATTTTTTAAGAATGGATTTAATGGTGCTCTGTGGGATGTTCAAAGTTTCTGATATTTTTTTATAACCCAACCCCGATCTGTAATTCTCCACAACTTTGTCCCTGACCTGTTTGGAGAGCTCCTTGGTCTTCATGGTGCCACTTGCTTGGTGGTGCCCCTTGCTTAGTGGTGTTGCAGACTCTGGGTCCTTTCAGAACAGGTGTGTATATACTGACATCATGTGACACTTAGATTGCACACAGGTGGACTTTATTTAACTAATTATGTGACTTCTGAAGGTAATTGGTTGCACAAGATCTTATTTAGGGGCTCCATAGCAAAGGGGGTGATCGCATATGCACGCACCACTTTTCCGTTATTTATTTTTTAGAATTTTTTGAACAAGTTATTTTTTTCATTTCACTTCACCAATTTGGACTATTTTGTGTAAGTCCATTACATGAAATCCAAATAAAAATCCATAAAAATTACAGCTTGTAATGCAACAAAATAGGAAAAACGCCAAAGGGGAAGAATACTTTTGCAAGGCACTGTATGTCAGTTTAGCGACTTAAGCTCCTCTGTTTGAAGTGGTGGCGCTTGCTTGCTTGTATTTAGAATGAAAGCACAGCTGCCTCTGTCTCTCACCCCTCATCTTCACATAGAATTTTGAAGGGCATCCTTTACATTGATAGTTACTAGTGGTGATAATAACTTTGTCTCTGGTCCCCAGGCACAGTGGCCAGTTTGGCACTATCAACAACTTCCGTCTGGGCCGACTACCCAGTGTCCCCGTAGAGTGGAACGAGATCAACGCCGCCTGGGGTCAGACCGTGCTACAACGCCGCCTGAGGTCAGACATGACACACACAAGGACATAGACGTGGCACACACCCTTTTACGCCATGTAATATGTTCAATTGCCAAAGAAGTAACTGTATTTTAATCAGCTCCTTTGTCATATCCAAATAAACATGTGTCATTAAAATAATGTAAAATATCTTGGTGAATTTCTTGAACCTCTCTCTATAGATACCGCCTGGACCCATATGGAAACCACTCAAACCTGGAGTCACTTACAGACAAGTCCAAGGTAATGGTTGTTACCAACAAGTGAGGTTTCAAACCAAAAGGCACATGAACACACTTACCACTGGATACTATATGGAGACAAACAACAAAAAATGTTTCATGAGCTGTGAAAGAGTGATCTATCCTTTAAATATTATTTTGCAATACTCATTAGCCAAGCCAACCCCCGTGAATAGGCCATGTTGTAATGGTACATTCCACTCTCTCTTTCCTCTTTGTGTGTGTAGGAGCTACCACTGTACTGTTCAGGGGGCCTACGCTTCTTCTGGGACAACAAGTTTGACCATGCCATGGTGGCCTTCCTGGACTGTGTGCAGCAGTTCAAGGAGGAGGTGGAGAAGGGAGACACAGGATTCCTGCCTGCCCTACAGGTCAGTCAACTAGTCTAGCAGACATCATCAAATTATAATTGTAATCATCTATGGATTATGCAGAGAAACAAAGGATTAAGCTGTCAAAAGCTGACCAACTTCAGTTATTTGTGTAAGTTTGGCATGTTATACAACTAAATCAATTAGTTTCTTTCTTCATTTTGCCAATTCATATTATAATTTTTTCACTCCTTTTCATATTCAGATTTGACAAATACATTCCCTTGTTTTTTAATATTTCATTTATTTATTTATTTAGATGAGTGTTTTACACAGGTGTTTCTGTAGATTTGAGGAACTGCTGAACACTGTTGGTTTAGATGGTTCTGGATACAATACTGCCTCCTAGTAGTACTGCCTCTTATTGGAACCCTCACAGATTCCAAAGTAGATGTCCTCTTTTGGGCAGCAGGTGGTTTAGCAGTCACTGTATGTCTGTCTGTCTGTTCAATCCAAAATACAAAAGAGCAACAGACTCTGGTCCCTTGGAAACACAACCCAGCCGCACTGCTGTTTGACACAATGCATGCTTAACCCGGAAGCACCAATGTGTCAGAGGCAACCCTGTGCACCTGGCGACCGTGTCAGCGTGCACTGCCCGCCACAGGAGCAATGGGACAAGAATACCCCTGCCGGCCAAACCCTCCCCTAACCTGGACGACGCTGGTCCAATTGTGCGCCGCCCCATGGGTCTCCCGGTCGCGGCCGACGGCGACAGAGCCTGGTCTCGAACCAGGATCTCTAGTGGCACAGCTAGCACTGCGATGTTGTGCCCTAGAGCACTACGCCACTTGGGAGGCAAATTTAACTAACAGATAGTTAATCCAGAGATTCTTGCCTCTGCAGTGTCATCCACATCATCATGGCATTTGTAGTTCTTTATGATAGCCACATTAGCATCTAATTAGCATTTCATTTTGGGGGGCTAAATACAGGCGAAAATATTAAGTCACCTTGTCCTACAGCGATTTACACGGTTATCATGAAACACAGCCCTTATTTTAAGTTTTTCTAAAATCCCTTAAGGGACTGCTATGTTATATGGGTATTATGACTCATACTGTGGTACTCTGATTTAATAACTTGCCAAATTTACACAAAGAACTGGAGTTGGTCAGCTTAATCCTTTGTCTCTGCATGAACATTTGCCTCCAACTAGTCACTAGCATGAGAAATCTGCAGATTAGTTTGTCATAGCGTACTGGCTTTAGATACAAATGTTGGTGTCAGCAGCTGTAGATGTTGCGCCAGGTTCTTTCATACCCCTCTTGAGAAATAAATAAGCCTCAAACCCCCAAGTCTTTAACTACCTTTTTTCAGGATGGACGTGGAAAAGGGCAAGATTGAGGACACGGGTGGCAGGGGTGGCTCCTACTCCATCAAGACCCAGTTCAACTCGGAGGAGCAGTGGACCAAGGCGCTCAAGTTCATGTTGACCAACCTCAAGTGGGGCCTGGCGTGGGTGTCATCTCAGTTTTACAATCGATAGAGGAGGAAGATGAGGACTTACCCTGGGTGTGAAAACCCCAATTTCCTCATAATGTGTGAATCTCAAAAGTTCCTCTCCACGGATCTTCTCCTACAATGCACTCCTTGCTTCCCTATAATGTTTTGAGTGGGTGGGGAGAAGACTGGAGAAATGACTTTTGAGATTCACCACTGGTGTGAGTTCCAATCCAATAAGTCTTGTTTCCTTGTTTGATTTCCATATTGACCATTTGAAAGGACAAGATAAAAACGGTTAAATTATACACATTCAAGTCCACCTAGACTAGTAGGTGTTATGAAGGGAGCTATCTGAAGCTTTTGGAGCACATCCCAGGATTGCATCCTAATAGTAGCTAAGTGGCTTCTGGTTGTCTCTTTTCCTTCTTATACACAGATCTTATGACACTGGATAGATGAAAGCATCAGATGTTTCCAATTGACCTGTTCAATTATTAAAGATCAGTACAAATGAAAGGAAGGGAGACTATGAGAGAAGGAGAAGTTGAACTACTGAGATGCAGCACTGGAATGGGTTCTTATTATGTATCACATGCTTCTTACTTTGCTCCAGAAGCAAAACTGGAGTGGCACAAATCTGGTTTTCTGCCTATTTTTCTTCAAATTTTTTGTGTCTTTCTGAGGTTTAACCCCACTATAGCCACAGAATAATATAGATTGTGCATGTTTTAATAGTTTTTCTTTTACTGTGCTGATAAGGTAAAAATTGTTTAATTTCACCATGCGTTGGAACAGCATTGGAACGTTTGTCTTGTCTGTTCTCGTCTCCCCACTCGCACCAAGTGTCTATTGAAAGCTTTGACGTCGGGATTATACTATGTGCTTTTGTTCTTTGGCAAATTCAACAAGTCAATCCTTTTACTACAAGTGAATGCTTGGTGTCGATTTAAATGTAGACAAGGAGGCTTGTGATTGATTTTTCAGGTTCTTTACCCATATGAACATGGCAATGATAATGGACCAGCACAGAACACCTTACGTAAAAGGATATTTACAATTCTAACATAAGTATTCACCTCCTGAGTCAATACATGTTAAAATCACCTTTGGCAGCGATCACAGCTGTGAGACTTTCTGGGTAAGTCTCTAAATGCTTTGCACACAAGGATTGTACAATATTTGCATGTTATTCTTTTAAAAATTCTTCAAGCTCTGTCAAGTTGGTTGTTGATACAAAGCCATTTTCAAGTCTTGCCATATATTTTCAAGCCGATTTAAGTCAAATCTGTAATTAGGCCACTCGGGTACATTCAATGTCGTCTTGGTAAGCAACTCCAGTGTATATTTGGCCTTGCTTTAGGTTATTGTCCTTCTGAAAGGTGAATATCTCCCAATGTCTGTAAAGCAGACTGAAACAGGTTTTCCTCTAGGATTTTGCCACCACCATGCTTGAAAATATGAAGAGTGGTACTCACTGATGTTGTTGGATTTGCCCCAAACATAACGCTTTGTATTCAGGACATAAAGTCAATTTCTTTGCCACATTTTTTGCAGTATTACTTTACTGCCTTATTGCAAACAGGATGCATGTTTTGGAATATTTTTATTCTGTACATGCTTCCTTTTCACTCATTTAGGTTAGTATTATGGAGTAACTACAATGTTGTTGATCCATCCTTAGTTTTCTATCACAGCCATTAAACTCAGTTTTATGTCACCATTGGCCTCATGGTGAAATCCCTCAGCGGTTTCCTTACTCTCCGGCAACTGAGTTAGGAAGGACGCCTGTATCTTTCTAGTGCCTGGGTATATTGATACGCCATCCAAAGCGTAATTATTAAAATTCATCATGCTCAAAAGGGATATTTAATGTCTGTTCATTTTTTTTTACTCATCTACCAATAGGTGCCCTTCTTTGCAAGGCATTGGAAAACCTCCCTGGTCTTTGTGGTTGAATCTGTGTTTGAAATTCACTGCTCAACTGAGAGACCTTACAGATTATTAATTGTATGTGTGGGGTACAGAGATGAGGTAGTCATTCATAGAATGTCACTTGTTAAGCACATTTTTACTCCTGAACTTTATGCTTGCCATTACAAAGGGGTTGAATACTTGTTGACGCAAGACTTTCCATTAATTCATTTGTTAAAATTTCTAGAAACATAATTCCACTTTGACATTATAGGGTATTATGTATAGGTCAGTGACAAAATCTCAATTTAATCCACACAACAAAATGTGTAAAAAGTGGTGTGAATACTTTCTATAGGCACGTTATGAGATTGGCTCTTCAGGCAGTCGTTGGGTTGCTAGCTCTGTATGTCTGTGTATATTTGAGTATTACAAGTTAAGCTATTCTGCTTTTCTCTGGTATACAACAGGCCTATGCTCAAGAGTGAAATCAGGTATCACAATGTACTAAAATAACTTTGCCAATATTTAAGTCATGTTGGAATTTAGATTGTTATACTGCACGATTTGCAATGAATGAGTATTATCTTTGACATAACTCCTTGCTAACAAACCACAAAGTCATACCAAAAGTCAGTTTAATGGTTTATATGCAGTTCTATTAAGTCGCTCTCCCTCTCCATTTTGGGGGCAAGCCTCATGAAAAAAGGTGGACAACCATCCAAATAACAAAGTCAACTCCCAGTACGATTTCCAAGCAATTATTTCAAACTGATTAAAATAGTCAAAAGTGACAATCCTAGTGAAAACGATTGCTTTCTTTAGCTTGTCAGTTAGACGTGTGTATAATGTAACTGTTGTATCAACCAGGAATGCCTTCAACTTTGGTCATCAGAAACAGAAACTCCCCCTTCATTTGAACCCTTCCAAAAACTTCATGGCTCACCATTGTGTAGGGGGGGGGGGGGGGGTTGGACTGGCTGCAGATTATTATATTATTGGAAAAATATATAGAGTTCAACTTACGATACAACTCAAGCAAAAATGTATTTAAAAAAAGCTTTTCTCTCAAAACATCAAATGGAATGGCGCGGTTTGGTTATCCCGAAAACAGGTATGCACAGGGCACACACTATACACACACACCATGACTTTAGGCCATTTTCCAATGGCCCTGAGATGCAGCCCACTGGACAGGGCAAGTAAGGTCTTTCCCTTCTTTGTGGCAGGGGTATGTGTGTACATGTGCGTGGGCAGCCATTGGGTCTTATAGACAAGCCAGACTGGCACTGCCCCTTTGTGTCTTAGGAGGGGTGGGGAGAGGGAGGGCGCTTCAGCTATTACTCCTCCATCCCCATCCCTTGTTCTGTTTTTACCCTCTCCCCTCCATCCTCCTACCCCCATCCCTCTCTTCAGAAAGGAGGGCGTTTGAGTAATGTGGCCCCCACGGGCCCTCTAGGGTGGCGTTGGGCGCCTCAGTTTGAGGCACTGCTGTTGAAGGCGCTGGACGTGGAGGGTGTGGAGCCCGACGCCAAGGGCCCGGCTCCAGTGGCCAGGGCCTTGCGGAAGGGGGGCATGAGGAAGGGGTCTTGGGCCAGCTGCAGCACGTCGATGCGCTCCTCCTTGCGGTAGGCCAGGCAGCGGCGGATGAAGGCCTGACGGAGAGAGGGAGGTAAAGGGGGTAGATCAGCTTTAATATTGCAGATAGATTGTAGCTTCCATCAATGTAATTGTCTGCATCATTTACAATCCCCATATATACAAAATATGTGTATGTGTGTGTATATATATATATGTATGTATGTCTGCATGTATGTATACATACAGTGGGGAGAACAAGTATTTGATACACTGCCGATTTTGCAGGTTTTCCTACTTACAAAGCATGTAGTGGTCTGTAATTTTTATCATAGGTACACTTCAACTGTGAGAGACAGAATCTAAAACAAAAATCCAGAAAATCACATTGTATGATTTTTAAGTAATTAATTTTCATTTTATTGCATGACATAAGTATTTGATACATCAGAAAAGCAGAACTTAATATTTGGTATAGAAACCTTTGTTTGCAATTACAGAGATCAGACGTTCCCTGTAGGTCTTGACCAGGTTTGCACACACTGCAGCAGGGATTTTGGCCCACTCCTCCATACAGACCTTCTCCAGATCCTTCAGGTTTCGGGGCTGTCGCTGGGCAATACGGACTTTCAGCTCCCTCCAAAGATTTTCTATTGGGTTCAGGTCTGGAGACTAGCTAGGCCACTCCAGGACCTTGAGATGCTTCTTACGGAGCCACTCCTTAGTTGCCCTGGCTGTGTGTTTCGGGTCGTTGTCATGCTGGAAGACCCAGCCACGACCCATCTTCAATGCTCTTACTGAGGGAAGGAGGTTGTTGGCCAAGATCTCGCGATACATGGCCCCATCCATCCTCCCCTCAATACGGTGCAGTCGCCTGTCCCCTTTGCAGAAAAGCATCCCCAAAGAATGATGTTTCCACCTCCATGCTTCACGGTTGGGATGGTGTTCTTGGGGTTGTTCTCATCCTCCTTCTTCCTCCAAACACGGCGAGTGGAGGTTAGACCAAAAAGCTCAATTTTTGTCTCATCAGACCACATGACCTTCTCCCATTCCTCCTCTGGATCATCCAGATGGTCATTGGCAAACTTCAGACGGGCCTGGACATGCGCTGGCTTGAGCAGGGGGACCTTGCGTGCGCTGCAGGAATTGAATCCATGACGGCGTAGTGTGTTACTAATGGTTTTCTTTGAGACTGTGGTCCCAGCTCTCTTCAGGTCATTGACCAGGTCCTGCCGTGTAGTTCTGGGCTGATCCCTCACCTTCGTCATGATCATTGATGCCCCACGAGGTGAGATCTTGCATGGAGACCCAGACCGAGGGTGATTGACCGTCATCTTGAACTTCTTCCATTTGTTAATAATTGCCCCAACCGTTGTTGCCTTCTCACCAAGCTGCTTGCCTATTGTCCTGTAGCCCATCCCAGCCTTGGGCAGGTCTACAATTTTATCCCTGATGTCCTTACACAGCTCTCTGGTCTTGGCCATTGTGGAGAGGTTGGAGTTTGTTTGATTGAGTGTGTGGACAGGAGTCTTTTAGACAGGTAATGAGTTCAAAAAGGTGCAGTTAATACAGATAATGAGTGGAGAACAGGAGGACTTCTTAAAGAAAAACTAACAGGTCTGTGAGAGCCGGAATTCTTACTGGTTGGTTGGTGATCAAATACTTATGTCATGCAATAAAATGCAAATTAATTACTTAAAAATCATACAATGTGATTTTCTGGATTTTGGAAGTGTACCTATGATAAAAATTACAGACCTCTACATGCTTTGTAAGTAGGAAAACCTGCAAAATCGGCAGTGTATCAAATACTTGTTCTCCCCACTGTATATCATAATTTGGTTGTAATCCAGAGGTTAGAATAATTATCTAGATCCTGTATGTGGCTGTGGAAGGATCCAAATTGTGGATTTGAAAGAAAACATGAATCATCAGCGTACAATGACACCTTTGTTTTTAAGCCCTAGATTTCTAGTGCCCCTTGATATTATTTAATAGCCAACATTTCGATGGCCATAATAAATAGATATGCCAATAGTGGACAACCTTGTTTTACTCCTTGTGACAGTTTAATACTTTCTGAGAAGTAGCCATTATTTACTATTTTACACCTAGGGTTACTATACATAACCTTAACCCATTGTATAAGAGATTCTCCAAAATTGAAATATTCCAGGCATTTATATATAAATTCTAGTCGTTTCCAGTACTTGCCTTATACTATATCCAATGTATCGTCCATGTAAAAAACATGTGTGATTAGAATGAATAATATCCTACAATACCTTTTTAATTCCATACTCAATGCATTTTGCTAGAATTTTATAATACATTTGTATATATATTTTCAAAGAAGCGTGGATTATCATTATTTGGACCGTATAGATTAACGAGCCAAATCTGTTTATGGTCCAATAACATATTTAAAAGAATCCATCTACCTTGCGGATCTGTTTGAACAATTTGCACATTTTGATCCAAATTATTGTTCATTAATATCATCACCCCTTTTGAGTTTGTTTGCCCCATGGGAGAAGTATATTTCGCCCCCCCCCCCCCATCCTTTAAAAAGAGCACACAGTGCCACCCACAGAACCAATGCAGATTACCTGCCAAAAGCATTTCCAACGCCCTCACCTCAATTGCATTGTATACAGTTATTTTATTTATTTACAGTTAATTTATTTCCACAATTAACGAATAATATGCATACTAATGTAGGCAGTTCATAGGAAGGATTGTTACCTATAACCAGGATAGGCATTACAAAAATTACATTTTTGGCAAGCAATTATTATTTTGGAAAACAATTGAGATTCATCCTGTAGTCCCTAACATCATTACCCTATAGCAACAGATGTGGGATACACACACTCATACACACTCCCCACAAAACAACCACAAGCTCAGATGTTCAACAGTTGCTCCATTAGAGCCCAAATTAAGAGAAGACTTGATGTGTGAATGAATATACAGTTGTATCTGTTTGAGAAGTGTGAGAGAAAAATGTGTTTGATATTAATACATAACAAATAGTAAGTCATTTCTGTTCTACGAATGCAGTGTTTTCATGGTCTCCACTCTAGCTCCCTGCAGCTAATCTGGGCGTATGGTCACTAGAGATAGCTTGCGCTAACAAGTGTCAGCTATATAAGAACCAGCATTTTCTGTAAAGGTTCTCGGCCAACAGTCAAGAATGTTGGGTCGACCAGTCTCATTATTGCAATAATTAAATCGATATTGAATAAAGATGATTGTTAAAGAAATGACAAGTCTCTCTCAGTACTAAAATTGTCCACGACAGAATGCATGCAAAATTGAGCAAGAATGGGGAGATTTGATTATCCAATGTCTAGTCCTAGCTGATGGAGCTCGACACACCCCCCTACCCTGAAACACACACACGCTGGTCCCTCGTTGTGACCATTTTCCCAAGCATCAAACTTTTTGATTATTTTGTGAAGTTAAAGGAATGGTGGATGGTTCACTCACTATACAATTTAATCTGGGTAAACGATTGTGAGGAGTTAAAGAGATGGGAGTTTGATTACATGGTTTAGCGGACTGTGACAGAGTGTGTGTGTGCGAGTGAATGAAAGTTTGTGTGTGTGCGTGGAAAGAGAACGGTAGAGTGACGGAGTGTGAATGTTTGTGTGCATGCAAGTAAGTGTGTGTTTACAAATGTGTGTTGCGTACCTTGGCTTCTGTGGTGACCACAGGTTTGGGGGGAAACTGCACCTCTTTGGCTTTCAGTATGGTGTTCTCCTGCAAGATGTCCTGCTGGGACTGGTTGTGTCCAAACGGCTGGAGAGAGGAAGAAAAGGAATGTTAGAGATTTACGGAGAGAGACAGAAAAGCGATAGAGGGGGAAAAGAGGGTAAATGAGGCAGGAGTTCTTTGAAAGCCTACAAACTCCAAGACTTTCAAGATCATTGTTGCTTGAAAGGACAAAAGCAGAAGGGTTGAAGGGACTAGCAAATAAATATTTATTAAAATGTAGAGTTTCAGTAGCCTCCCTACCAGACTTACACAACTGGTTCTAGAGTAAAGTTTCAGACAGTGACATTTGTCAGGCATGATGTTAGCAAAACATTGCAAGGACACACAGTGTGCGAAGGGGAATCAATTCAAGCGTTGTGTGTTTACCTTGCGTCCGTAGAGGCTCTGGTAGAAGATGACCCCCACCGACCACACGTCCACCTTGTTGGAGATCTTGGGGGGCTCCTTCCCCACCACAAAACACTCTGGGGGCAGGTACCTGCAGAGGGGGCATTATAATTAGTTAGTAAATTATACTGAACAAAAATATAAACGCAACATGTAAACATGTTGGTTTCATGTTTCATGAGCTGAAATAAAAGATCCCAGAAATGTTCCATGCACAAACTGTCAGAAACCGTCTCAGGGAAGGACATCTGTGTGCTCGTCGTCCTCACCAGGGTCTTGACCTGACTGCAGTTTGGCGTCGTAACAGACTTCAGTGGGCAAATGCTCACCTTCGATGGCCACTGGCACCCTGGAGAAGTGTGCTCTTCAAGGATGAATCCGTTTCAACTGTACCAGACAGATGGCAGACAGTGTGTATAGCGTCATGTGGGTGAGAGGTCTGCTGATGTCAACGTTGTGAACTGAGTGCCCAATGGTGGCAGTGGGGTTATGCTATGGGCAGGAATAAGCTACGGACAACGACACACTTGCATTTTATTGATGGCAATTTGAATGCACAGCGATACCGTGATGAGATCCTGAGGCCCATTGTCGTGCCATTCATCCGTCGCCATGTCGGCCCCATGTCGCAAGGATCTGTACACAATTCCTGGAAGCTGAAAAAGTCCCAGTTCTTCCATGGCCTGCATACTCACACATTGAGCATGTTTGGGATGCTCTGAATCGATGTGTATGGCAGCGTGTTCCAGTTCCCGCCAGTATCCAGCAACTTCGTACAGCCATTGGAGTGGGACAACATTCCACAGGCCACAATCAACAGCCTGATCAACTCTATGCGAAGGAGATGTGTCGCGCTGCATGAGGCAAATGGTGTTCACACCAGATACTGACTGGTTTTCTGATCCAAGCCCCTACCTTTTTTTAAAAAGATACAGTATATGTGACCAACAGATCATAAGGAAATCCATAGATTACGGCCTGCTGAATTTCAATTGACTGATTTCCTTATATGAACTGTAACTCAGTAAAATCTTTTAAATTGTTGCATGTAAAATGTATATATTTTTTTCAATGTAGATTGAGTGTGTGAATGTTACAACAGTCAGCAATGGAAACTTTGTGTGTATGTGTGTGTTTTGCTTGCACACGTGTATGTGTGCTTGCAAGTGTGTGTGTAAGTGCGTACCAGTAAGTCCCTGCTCCCTGGGAGGTCAGCTCCATCCCGTCCACAGAGTTGTAGCTGTCGTCGTCCATGATCTTGGACAGGCCGAAATCGGTGATCTTGATCTCGCCGCATGCCGTGCCGTTCACCAAGAGGATGTTGCCTATGGAGAGGGAGATATGGGAAATGTAGTCAAACACACATTGTGATGAATCTTTTGATTATTGAGAGGTAATTTGTGAGTAAGCAGTTCATTGTATTTCATACATATGGTCAATATTCCCTCTAAGTTGCATGCGTTGCGTGGGTGCGCAGAAGCGGAGACTGCCGCGCAGAAGAAATACAATATCAGCCCACGGAGAGAAGCATGAGATTGAACTTTACTCAACTTTCTAAAGTTTTCCCTGTTAGTTAACACTATCAATGTTTCCCTTTACTGTGGCAATTGTGATTGAATCAACGCAATATTAGTCACTTTCAATGCAACATACCGAAACAAAACTAACTATGCAAGAGATTTTGTTGTAGGCAGAATGCATGGAGTAGGATTCTATTGCATTGACACGCACGACTTAGCCCGTACTCTACACAGACCGGTGCGGTATAACCAATCAGAGCTGCAGTAGGCCTATATACAAATAGACCACTGCCGTATACGAATCTGTGCCACTTACTTACTCAAAGTGAGAGCTGCATGTTGCCATGTGTGCACATTTTGCTAATATCCTTTGCTAGTTAGTTATTAGCCCAGTTATAGATCATTTGTAGTCAGCATTAGGGGAGGGATTGCTTCCTACAAGAGCACAAAACGTATACATTTCTAGACATCTTTGAAAAGAGAGTCAGGTAAAGAGCTTTTTTTTTTGTATTAAAGGCAGTGTTGTATTTTGAGACAGGCTTGAATAAGCTAAGTAACCAATAGGCAAAGGGTAGCATAATTTGTCTAATTCTCAGTAATAATGGTATGGGAATAATAACGTAATATATTTTGTAAAGTGGTTTCTTGCATCAAAAAACATTTTAAGTCACCTCAAGTGGATAAATGGGTTAATGTCAAGCCCTGCATGTTTTTTTTCCAAAAGTCTCATGGAATGTAGGTCTACATTGAACACCACACATTGGCTGCTACTTTAGGCTGAATGATAGAACAGCTATTTCCATGTTAAAATGTTATGGGATGCATTTTCGCCATAGTTGATGGTAGGCCACTCTGGTAGGCCTATGTTATGATAAAATAGCCACAGTAGCCTACTCGGCCACTTAAAACTAACTAAAAGCGGGTACAGCCTCAGTGTTTACAGTAAACGCGTGCTGGAAGTTGCACAGAATTTTCACAACGTTCAAGTTTGAGCTCAGCAGACCTGAAATTTGCTCAGTGCTGAAAAAAATTAGAGGGAACATTGCATATGATACATACATTTTACCTTGAACTTTATTTGGTGTCTGCTACAAAATCCTATAAAAAGGGAAGACTATAGTGGACCGGCTAATTTAATACCCAGATATGCTTGGACGTCACAGCAGGGTCAAACACAATCAAATACTTTCAAATAAGCTGCGCTCTATTTAGTTTGCAAGTCGAACCAATGGAATAGTCCCAAAGGTGTAAAATCCAAGCTAAATCTAGTGCACCTCAAATACCGTCAAGTGTTTGACATATACAGTACCAGTCAAACGTTTGGACACACCTACTCTACTCATTCAAGGGTTTTTCCACCGGTCTAATGTCCATTGCTCATGTTTCTTGGCCCAAGCAGGTCTCTTCTTCTTATTGGTGTCCTTTAGTAGTGGTTTCTTTGCAGCAATTTGACCATGAAGGCCTGATTCTCACAGTCCCCTCTGAACAGTTGATGTTGAGATGTGTCTGTTACTTCAACTCAGAAGCATTTATTTGGGCTGCAATTTCTGAGGCTGGTAACTCTAATGAACTTATCCTCTGCAGCAGAGTTAATTCTGGGTCTTCCATTCCTGTCGCGGTCCTCATGAGAGCCAGTTTCATCATAGCGCTTGATGGTTTTTGCGACTGCACTTGAAGAAACTTTCCGTATTGACTGACCTTCATGTCTTAAATTAATGATTTACTGGTGTTTCTCTTAGCTTATTTGAGCTGTTCTTGCAATAATATGAACATGGTATTTTACCAAATAGGGCCATCTTCTGTATACCACCCCTACCTTGTCACAACACAACTGATTGGCTCAAACGCATTAAGAAGGAAAGAAATCCCACAAATTAACTTTTAAGAAGGCACACCTGTTAATTGAAATGCATTACAGGTGACTACCTCATGAAGCTGGTTGAGAGAATGCCAAGAGTGTGCAAAGCTGTCAAGGCAAAGGGTGGCTATTTGAAGTCTCAAATATAAAATATATTTTGATTTGTTTAACACTTTTTTGGTTACTACATGATTCCATATGTGTTATTTCATAGTTTTGATGTCTTCACTATTATTCTACAATGTAGAAAATAGTAAAATTAAAGAAAAACCCTGGAATGAGTACTTGTTTCCAATCTTTTGACTGGTACTGTATATATTTGACCCGGTCACTCCTGCACAGCACAAGCCTACTGCCACAACGATTTAGGTTAGGATTATCAGGGGTTGGTTAGGGTAAGGGTTGTCAGGGACCGTGGCATGACAGACCTGGCTTGAGGTCATAGTGGATGATGGGCGGGCGGATCTCATTGAGGTACTTGAGTGCGTTGACGATCTGCATGATGATGGAGCGGCCCTCCTTCTCAGACATCAGCTTGTGCTGCTTCAGGTAGAAGTCCAGGTCGTTGCCCTCGCAGAACTCCAGTACTGTGCAGAACCTGGGGTGGAGAACACACACATTAAAGCCTTTTAAAATTAGGAGAAAACCATATAATAAAATGGGAAGCACCATACAGACACAGAACTAAGGGCTAAATTGACTAGATTGCCTACGAATAAAGGCAGGGATGAAAGTTCCTATTCATCAATGAGTTAGTGATTGAGTGACTTACGAGTCTGTGTCCAGTGAGAAATAGTCATACAGTTTGACTATTCGGGGATGGTCCAGTTCCTTGTGGATCCTGTACTCTCTGCAGGCGTGCCTGAAACAAACATGAATGCACTAAGGTCAAATACTGTAGTGATTTAACACAGTACACACACACACACACAGAGAAGATGTCTACAGCGTCGGACCTAAGCAGTCACATGAAGATATACAGCCAAGAACATCGTGGAAAATCCCAACAACCGGATATTGGATGTACAGAATAAGGGGGTATTACATCAACCAAATATGCATTAACCATCCAAGGAGTTTGTGTGTGATTAAGTTCAAAGCCTTTATTTTATGGGCAGAGCCAAATATTTAAAACACTGCCAACGACTGGAGGCAACATTTTCTGTACGCATAACACAACTGATTTACTAGTATTACCTTACTTCTAAGAATATTGTAGCGTCAATTATCTTAGAATTTCTCTTGGATGATTTCCTTGAGAAGGCAGCAATTATTTACTCAAATCTAAAGTAAAAAGCGAGAAACTGCATTGTATATGATAAAACCGCCAACAGCAGTATATCAAACTCGTTTTCCATTAAGTGCTTTCCAGTCTACTTCAAATGATTATCCTGTGCACTGCGAGGGCTGTTTGGCGGACACAACATGGCCGCCCAGCCGCAGGCTTCCTTACTTGTGGTAGTTTTCCTTCTTCTCGTCCCTCCAGTTCTTGTTGAGCTGGTGGATCTTAACCGCCACGTATCTCTGCTCGGTTAGGTCAAAGGCCTAGGGATGAACACAGAGTAAATACAGAGTCAGACCAAACCAATGGAATGATATAGAGCAATATTCAGTTCATAGCATGGATGGATGGATGGACTTCGTAAATTGCCTCCAGTGTTACAGAGTGCGCTCTGGGTCGTTCGTAAATTCTGAGCGTTGTCAGATTGTTCGTTCACTCTGAGCGCTTAGAGCAAACACTGGACGCTCTGGCCAAGAAGTAGGGTTAATCTGAGCGTTCTAATCTCACAACGGCAGTTGAGCACCCAAGCTAACTGGCTAACGTTGGCTAGTTTGCTAGCAACTTCCAGAAACAAATGCGACAACACCACACTGACCATTTTACTTGCCCTGGCAGAGCTGGTTAGACTGTTTTCATGTTATCTAGAGTCAGTGACGGTGATGTTGGCAACAATTTTCTTTAGTTCTTTGCTGACGTTTACTGACACCAAGCCTAAAAGTGGTCACCTTGTAGACTTCACTGAAGCCACCTCGTCCCAGCAGATATAATAGCAGGTATCGGTCGTTCAACGTGGGGTGGTCTTTAAATCTGATGAGAGGGGGAGACCACAGGTCAATTTCTGAATGAGGATTGATCAAAGGAACAGGTACATGCTACATTCCAGGATGATAAACATACAACAGGACAGCCCACTCCAAATGTTGTGTACTCTGGCTGGTCTTGGAGAGCTACAGGATGTGCTAGCTTTTGCTCCAGCCCAGCACTAAACACACTAGATTCAAATAATCAAGGTCTTCAATCTGCAGGTTGGTATTTATTGTCATGAATCTTTCCCTGGATAAAGCTCTGCAGAGTGGTCACTATCTGGTGTGGCCACAAAGTCATCAAATCGTATTTTAACCCCAACCACACTGCCAACTCTGATGCCTAACCCTAACCTTAAATTAAGGTTACATTTTTGTTTTCATGAATTTTTACAATATAGCCAATTTTGACTTTACAGCTGGCCCAGCTAGCGGAAATCTCTCAGTTCTGCCTACAGGGCAAGATTCATGACAATAAACATCAACCTGCCTTTAATCTTTGGGACCATGATCAAATCAAATCAAATTTTATTTGCCACATGCGCCGAATACAACAGGTGTAGACCTAGACCGTAGAGTGAAATTCTTACTTACAAGCCCTTAAAAAACAATGCAGTTAATAAAAAAAATAGATCAGTAAAAAATACAAATGACAGATAATTAAAGAGCAGCAGTAAAATAAAATAACAGTAGGGAGGCTATATACAGGGGGTACCGGTACAGAGTCAATGTGCGGGGCATAAATCAGGTGTGCTAGTGCTTTGCAGTGAGAACGAGTTTGGTAATTGGAATGGAATGCAGAAAAAGAGATGAAGGCAAAGGGGAGCGTACGTGGAGTTGTCCTCGTTGTGGATCCTCTTTAGCTCCCGGATGTGGAGGTTCCTGACACGCTCCAACCTCTCCAGCTCTGCCTGGATCTCTGCCTCCTCCTACAGGAGACACACACACACTTGTTAGTCTGATGACAGTATTGTTTGGATTTATTGTGTATTGCATTTCTCCTATGTTTCTTGCAGAGATGACAGCGAAAGGAGGACAGTACCTTCTTTAGATGCCCAAGCCGAAGTTTGAAAATCTCCTCCTGCTCGTGATATTCTGCAAGCGACAACCTGTGTGGTTCAAAGACAAAGGGTCAACTTTAAAACAAAGTAATCTTATTTTGTTTCGTGTCTACTGAACACTGTCCCAGTTAGGTGCTTAATTAATGGACCAGCTACACCTGTGTGGAAGCTTGCACCTGAACAACTTGGATGTGCATATTTTACCCTTGTTGGATTCTAGCTTGAAATAGACTTATTCATGATACCATACTAGAACTTATTGATTACTTTACATGTATAATGAATGTATATGTTGGTGTCAATGGAGGGTGGATAAAACTATGTGTATGGAAAGTTACTGAGTGAGACAATGGGGGGAGGCAGGAAGTTTACATTCGGTCAAACGTTATTGTTAAATCTCATGGATCCTATGGAGGGAGGCAAAGGGCAACAGTCTGGTTTTAGTCACCGATAAGGTAGGACAGCCGCGGAGTAGTGTGCGACTGTTTTTCGTGAATGACCTAAAGGTCATGAAAAATTGCTGCGACACATGAATCGTGCCACTATCGTTCCAAACTCATACTGTGGGGGCTTGACATAAGTCAACAACACTGGCCAAATCCCAAATTGACCTCTAGACCCTCTGTACTTGTGGAGATCTGAATGGATTTAACAGGTGTAAGCAATATCGTAATAGCTCCAACTTGTCCTCTGATAGGCTAGGTGGAAGTTTCACCATATTACCTATATCAATTAAATAGTCTCAAATTCCTACAAGGGCATAGGGTCGATTTGGGATTGGGACACCCTTTTCCCTATATCTGTGTCGTGTTCATAAGGACACTCAAGGGAAAACATTTTGCAACAGAAAATGAAAAGGAGTCTTTCTTACTGGACAAATTCAGGTAGTCCCTCCCCGTTTCCCTATGTTTTCTTCCATTTTGTTTCCGAATGAACATGACCCACTCAAAGATAAGCCAAAGGTACAATTCTTCCTTACGCTTCGTTGTCTTGTCCGTTGCTCTTGTTCTTGCGTTTGTTGGTGCCGGAGCTGTTGGGGGTGGTTGGAGGCTCCATGGTGTTGGGGGTGGTGAGGAGGGTGAGGCTCTGGGCCGTGGTGGTGGTGGTGGTGTTGGAGGAGGTGGAGGGCTTCCTCTTACCCAGCAGCTTCCTTTGTCTCTCTATTTCCTCCCTCTGAGAGTTTATCCTCTCCTGCTGCCTGGGAACACACACACAGAGAGGCAGACACAATGAGGGGCAGTGAGGGTGGCACAGTGCTGGACCATAGAAATCATAGTTATTCTATTGATTTCTATGTGTTGGGTGTACAGTGTATGTATGTGTGTCTCTAAGCTGTGTGTGTGTTCACTTGAAGAGGTTGAGAGTGTGTGTTTGTACTGACTTGATGAGGTTCTGGAAGGCGTATCCGTCAGTCCACTGCTCGGTGAAGGAGGCTCCGTGTCTCACGGTGGTGAAGTGGCCCAGTCGCAGGCGGTCCTGCATGCTTTTGTCCCGGCACGTCCTCTTCTCCTGCTTCGACTGGACACACACACACACACACACACACAGCTGATTACAATTCTTTAATTCTAATCAGGATCTGATTTTGACCTATGAACCTCTCGCCAATTAATTAAAGGGCAATTCTGCCACTTTTCAACCTCATAATCATTATCTTCAACACCATACCATTGTCTACATATGTGAAAATGGCACGTTTCTATGATCTATGGTTAAAAAGATAAGGTCCTAAAAAATGGTTCTGGGAAGTAATAAAAAGAGTGATTTTCAAAACCTGCAATGAGTTTCTAGCCAGAGGGAGGGTCTAACTGTGAAACTCACGTTTTAAAAATCACTGTTTTAACTTTTGACGATGTCATCGGGTAGAACTTTATAACTTGATATTTTTTTCCAACAAAACATAGAAATGCACCATTTTCACATATGTACACACTGGTATTGTGCTGGAGATAACTAAAATGAGGTTGAAGTGGTGGAATTGCCATTTTAACTACCAGGTAGCTAGTACTCCAGGGTTAGAATTTATCTTGAGCCAGGTTGTGCTTCTTCTGCTGTGTGAACAGACCCTTATGCCACTCAGCATCGATTTTGCACCAAGTACTGCTAGTTTTGAAGTTTGACCATATCAGTTTGTTGTTTGGACATTTAGGACCAAGGGTGCCCATGGAAATACAGACACTCACCTTCTCGATAAGCAGCTTTTTGCTCATGGTCACACACTTGTTGAGGCGCTCCTTGCACCGCTCCAGCGCCCTCTGTTGCTCGTCTATCTGGCGTCGCAGGTCACAGTTAGCCTAAAAAAACAATGTGTGTTTGTATACAGTTATCAGTAGTAATTTTGCAACCCTAGTTATCAGACACCTACAGCTACTATCAAAGTAACTACCCAACATTTACATTTACGTCATTTAGCAGACGCTCTTATCCAGAGCGACTTACAGTTAGTGAGTGCATACATTTTTTTCTTTTCATACTGGCCCCCCGTGGGAATCGAACCCACAACCCTGGCATTGCAAACGCCATGCTCTACCAGCTGAGCTACATCCCTGCCAGCCATTCCCTCCCCTACCCTGGACGACGCTGGGCCAATTGTGCGCCGCCCCATGGGTCTCCCGGTCGCGGCCGGCTATGACAGAGCCTGGATTCGAACCAGGATCTCTAGTGGCACAGCGCCACTCGGGAGATATCATTTGACAAGCTGGGGAGATGTAATTAGACAAAAAAGGTAAACTCAGATGATTTGCAAATAAACAAGCAACGTTTTGGTCACATTAAACATTTTGGATTCTCCTACACACCTGTGATAAAACGTACAAAAGTTTTTATTCTACCGAGTAACTCCAAATCCGTAGAAAGAGATAAAGATGTGAAACAATGTCTTACCCTCAGTAAGTCGTCTATCCGTCCCTCCTTCTTCTCTAGGTCAGAGTTCTTGTTGTTCTCTAATGCTGTCAGCTTCTCAAGCGTCAAGTCCGACTGGAGAGACAGAGAGAGAGAGAGAGTGGGGTTTGAGAAAAGTTAATAGAAAAGGCACTAATGACAGAAGGGACAATGCATCCATCAATAGGGTTGATTAATCAACAAATGCGTAGTTAGGCTGGTGGTCAATAACCAGCTTTCCAATTATTTCCAAGTTAAGGATAGGATTACTTCAACTGCCTAGTATGGAGTGGCACAACAACAGCGCATTCTAATATGGCAGAGGTGGATGTGAGCTGTGCCAGGGGAGACCACCCTATCTAGCCATGTCAGGTAAGTTGGGAGGCCAGGCCAGGCAGGGCTGTTTACCTGAGTAGATTTGTGGCAGGACGAGGAGGAGGACGAGGAGGAGGAGTGGAGTAGAGCAGGCTTCAGAGAGCTGGAGGAGGAGGAAGAGGAGGGCTCGGCGGGAGCTGCTGAGCCGGTGGATGACGGACTGCCCTGCTGAACCTAATGAGAAAGAAGGGGGGAGAGACATTTCAGACTGTTCCCATTGATCTACACTGATAGTTATGTTAGTCGTTAAGTGAGGGAGCATAAAGAGAGCTGGTGCTCACCGCCACTGGGGGGTTAGAGTGTGAGTGTTGAGAGGAAGAGAGCACCAGGGGAGGGATGCCCCACGCCGGACTGGTAGCAGGGCAACTACCACCGGCAAACTGAGCCAAAGCACGTGCGCGCGAGAGAAACAGAGAGAAATGATTGAACAATTGAAGGATGAATGTACAAGCACAGACAAAGAGTCTGAAGAAATGATGTATTTCAAATCAAGAGCGTTAATTAAAGTGCTTCACATGCAGGTAAGCCATATGTTAGCAAGAAAGCTGCGCACGTCATGAATTTTTCACTCACCTCAAAGTAATCGCTAATTTTGTGACTTCTTGCGCCTCCCTTATCGTACTGCTCTCCTTTCCTCTTCCTGGTTCTCTGGTCACTGGGCTTCTTCTCTGGTGTCTAAGCAAAGGGATCCCACAGTACACACCATTGGAAGAAAGACAACTACAGAATAACTTGTGTCCCTCTTTTCTGGGTTACCTAATTTCCATTGATTGTGTGTGTGTGTGTGTGTGTGTGTGTGTTTAACTATATGTGTGGGGACTAGAAGTCCCCACATGAATAGTAAACAAACAAACATTTGACCAACTGGGGACATTTTGTTAGTCCCCACAAGGTCAAATGCTATTTCTAGGGGGTTTATGGTTCAGGTTAGAATTAGGTTTAGGAGCTAGGGTTAGGGTTAGGAGCTAGGGCTAGGTTTAAGGTTAGGGAAAATAGTATTTTGAATGGGACTGAATTGTGTGTGTGTGTACATGCACGTGGAAGCTCCTAAGAGGAGGAAGGGGAGGACCATCCTCCTCAGTGAATTTAATAAAAATAAAAAGTTACATTGAAAAAAGTTATCATTTTTAGATAAAACTATAATAAATATATTCACGTTAGCAAATAATTTAATAAAACAAACTGTTTTGCCATGAAGGTCTACAGTAGCCTCAACAGCAGTCTGTAGGGTAGCACCATGTTGTAGCCGGAGAACAGCTAGTTTCCGTCCTCCTCTGGGTACATTGACTTCAATACAAAACCTAGGAGGCTCATGGTTCTCACCCCCTTCCACAGACTTCCACAGTAATTATGACAACTTCCGTAGGATGCCCTCCAACCTATAAGTGCTCTTGCAGCATGAACTGACATGTTGTCCACCCAATCAAAGGATCAGAGAATGAATCTAGTACTGAAAGCATTAACTTCAGCTAGCTAGCACTGCAGTACATAACATGATTAAAGATTAAACAGTTTTGAACAAAATTATTAATAAAAAAATTAAGGAGAAGCAAGAGAGGGAGAGAGAGCAAGCTATATTTAGTAGTATTGTTTTCACTTTGCTAGCGAATGCAGCGAGCTAGTTTAGCCTACTCAAACACCCGGTTCAAACAGAGAGGGATGCTATGTTAGCTAGCTGGCTATGGCTATCCAACACTGGAACTCTTCCAAGGTCAAGGTAAGCTTTTGGTTGTATTAATTTATTACCACCGGGGCCCCGCCGATGTAACTGCTAAACTGCTTGCTGACTGTACTGCATGATTGTAGCGGGTTTACTAACGCGTTAGTTCTAGTAGCTATGTTGACTATGATGTTCGCTAATACAGTTTGGTGATAATGATGTAGGCTGTGTGTAGAGGTTAGCGGTTACGATATGAAGGTTTGGCTTGGCGTTAATTTTGCCTGGTCACAGACAGCTGATTTGTTGTGCACTGAAGTCCACAAGCAAAGGGCAAAGGTGAGAGGAGGAGAGTGAATAGATGTGAGAAGGAATTATGTGATCATGCTGTTTGTATGTGGCTGCTATGAAAGTGAACTCTGTGTGCGGGTGATCAGGGTGTATTTATTCTGCCGATTCTTTTGAAAAACAATTGCAAGCGGAACCAAACAGGGATAAACATACCTGAATTTGTCCAATAGAAACTCTTGTTTGCAACTGTTGGACTAATAATTGCACCCTAGATCAGCTAGACGCAGGCAAGAGTGTGCAAGGTGGTATTGAATGTATCACTGTCTGGATTACTCATATTTCTCTCTCTACCTGTTGTAGCGACCTCATGATTGGTATACATGAACATTTTAGTATCATGTAGTAGCCTAATCTTATCGATGTTACATTGAGCTGGGTTAATGGAATATGAATGAGTCATCCAATATGCTGTACTAGAAATAAGGCCATGCTCATAAAAAATAAAGTGTCCTCCTTCACCGCCACACGCACAGGTGTGTAGTCATACTGACCTCCAGCTCCTTGTCGCTCAGAGAGCCCACGCTGCACAGGCTCTGGTTGGACGACTCGTTTATTCCTGAACCCTGGAGGAAACAACAACACATTGGTCAACAAGAAAATGGATGTCAAATGCTTCTATGTGCTGCAATGATTTCAGAAAGTATTCACACCACTTTACTTTTTCCACATTTTGCTGTGTTACAGACTGAATTTTAAATGGACCTTTTTACATTTTAAAACCTTTTTGTGCTGAATACAAAGCGTTATGTTTGGGGCAAAGCCAAAACAACACTTCATTGAGTACCACCGGTCATATTTTCAAGCATGGTGGTGGCTGCATCATGTTATGGGTATGCTTGTCATCGGCAAGAACTAGAGTTCTTTAGGATAAAAAGAAACGAAATACAGCTATAAGCACAGGTTCAGAAGGCTTTCCACGAGACACTGGGAGATGAATTCACCTTTCAGCAGCACAATAACCTAAAACACAAGGCCAAATCTACACTGGAGTTGCTTTCCAAGAAAACAGTGAAATGTTCCTGAATAGTCGAGTTACAGATTAGACTTAAATCTACTTAAAACTCTATTGCAAGACCTGAAAATGGTCTTCTAGCAATAATCAACAACCAATTTGACAGCGCTTGAAGAATTTCTAAATGGGCAACTATTGTATAATCCACGTGTGCACAGCTCTTAGTGATTTACCCAAAAAGACTCACAGCTGTAATTGCCACCAGGTGCTTCTACAAAGTATTGACTCAGGGGTGTGAATGTAATTATGTAATTATGCTTTAGTCCAGGTCTGGGAGGAGATCCCTCAGGAGACCATCCGCCACCTCATCAGGAAATCACAAAATCCACGTCTCCTGATGTACTGGCCTGTCTCCTGGTAGCGCCTCCATGCTCTGGACACTACGCTGACAGACACAGCAAACCTTCTTGCCACAGCTCGCATTGATGTGCCATCCTGAATGAGCTGCAATACCTGAGCCACTTGTGTGGGTTGTAGACTCCGTCTCATGCTACCACTAGAGTGAAAGCACCGCCAGCATTCAAAAGTGATCAAAACATCAGCCAGGAAGCATAGGAACTGAGAAGTGGTCTGTGGTCACCACCTGCAGAACCACTTCTTTATTGGGGGTGTCTTGCTAATTGCCTATAATTTCCACCTGTTGTCTATTCCATTTGTACAACAGCATGTGAAATGTATTGTCAATCAGTGTTGCTTCCTAAGTGGACAGTTTGATTTCACAGAAGTGTGATTGACTTGGAGTTACATTGTGTTGTTTAAGTGTTCCCTTTATTTTTTTGAGCAGTGTATATATATATAAACAAGTTTCAGGCATAAACGTTGTGTGTTATTTATTGTGACAGTAGCAACTGAACTAGTATCAAAATGAAAGTTTGTCAGACCTCAAAAGCAGTCTACCACACCTTCTGTGTACCCTAATTCCAGCTAACCCAAAATGAAAGTGAATGAAATTACTTAATATGGTGAGAGTCTGTCTTCCCTATTCATTTGGGGTTGGAATGTACTTTAATTAGCAACACAGGCCCTTGGTAACATCAAGCAGTAGGGCTCCTTGTCCTTGACTTGCTGACTATTCCATTATTGGGTGGGTGGGTGGGTGTGCCTGGTGGGGTGCCTTGCCATGGAGTGCTACTGAGACAGATGATGATTGATACACAGGAAGCTGGATGCCAGGGCAGCACTGTCACACACACAGAATGGATGCAGACACAATTGAATGGAGAGACAGACCTTGGCCACTCCGGCTCCTGTGAAGCGAGCCTCAAGCAGCTCCTGCCGTCGAGGGTCCAGGCTGTGCAGTTCTTCCATCATGTCTACGGAGAGAGAGAGAGAATGTGTTCGTTAAAGAGTTCAATCTTGGTTTCATCAGACCAGAGAATCTTGTTTCTCATGGTCTGAGAGTCCTTTAGGTGCCTTTTGGCAAACTCCAAGTGGGCTGTCATGTGCCTTTTACTGAGGAGTGGTTTCCGTCTGTCCACTCTACACGGTTGTCAAAAAGTCCCGCCAGGGAAAGCGTACATGAAACAGACCTTGTTGGAAGTAGTTCTAAAATCCCCTATAGGAAGAAATGAATGGCGAAAAAATTATTGCAACCATTTCCGTGTTTGACCGCAAGGTTTTATGGGTATTACAACGAAAACACTGTGGTATCAAAGACAGTACAGTATGAAGATAGGCAGAAACTGCTTCTCCAATAGAAATCCCTGATCACACTTGTAGGCGATGTCATGGAGAAGTTGGCTAGCTAAGCTCATACGCAGAAACACGTCATCGGGTCTAACGGTCGTCTCGCGCCGAACTGTGCATGTGCAGGCCATCAAATCTGTTTTTCACTTTAACAAGATTAGAGTAATAACATGTTGAACTACTTAAGACATTGGCTCGAATCTAGATTGTGCATTTAGATTGACAAAATTAACAACCAAGGAAGAATTTTTCACTTCTCTCATTGACTTTTCAAACCCCAAACCCCGGCCTGGACTGCTTGGTCTGTTTCGCAAGCTTTCCCAGAAGTCTTGCGATGTTGCGCCTCTGGGTTTACAAACTCTGTGGTGGTACTCTATTACACTTTGCCAACTGGAAGCCCCATAGACATTCATCACATTACTAGAAGGGATGGGTCGTGGTCGAGTTAGTTTTGCATGGCCTGGTGCCCCGGGTGGCAGAGTTAGCTAATTTTAGACTATTCCATTGGTCCCTAAGTGAAATCTCCAACCACCCGGGGCACCAGGCCATGCAAAATGAACTCCACCGTCAGGGTGGCTATTTTCGCAGTTTTTTATTGCAAAATTGGGCTACTTTGAAAAACGATGTCGCGGGTGAAAATGTTTTGCTTGCATGTTGCGTGTGACCTGCTGCTGCTGACTATCAGGCAGTGAGGCTGTTGCTGAGTGGTGGGGAGGGCCGGAGGGGTGTGTGTGTGTTGAGAGAGCTTAGTCCATTATTGGCTGGGTCACGTGAGTGAGATGAGACAAAGCAGCACACACGCATGTCTTGACAACTTTTTACCAGTTGTAGGAAGGCTATTTAACTTGTCATTATGCGCGAGTGGACATTTGAAATGGAAGTTATGGAACTCCTTCGCGTGCTTCTGTTATGGGGAAAAGTCCTTAATGAAACTGACATTAAAATGTGGCAAATGATACATTTGTATCTGTTGGCCATCAAGTAGCCTATACTTTTATATGCCATTGTAGGCTACCATTCAAAACAATAAATATGTTGAAATGACGAGTCATTGTAAATCAATTTGTGCCACTTGTGTAGCCTACCTGGAGCTGGCAAACGGATTTAATAAATAGCATATAACTTGAGTGTATTGTTGTTTTAACCTTGTGTTATTATGCAATTCATAATGGCCATGTTCAGTTAATTAAATTGGAAGTTATCAAAGCTCTATCGCAATTGCCGATCAGTTGTTAGAAGCATTAGATTGATTTAACAGTCAGTCAGATTAGGCTACAGGTTAATATATATATATATATTATATATATAAATAAATAACACTGGCTGTTGTTGACAAGCATATTCAGTTCATATACATATTATTAATATTTAATTCAGTGATTGAAATTACGACCCCATCCTCAGCCTATTCCAGCAGGCTATTGGAAAACACAAGCACTTACCTCGAAAATCGCCTAACTATTCATGTTGAATAAATTAGTCTGTTAATTTGAACTAAGCAAGCTGCTAAATAGTTCAGTTTACATCTTGCCTAGGTTACTCATGTAGGCCTATCAGGGGCTATAGGCTACCTGCATCTATCCAAGCAAACCATGGCAAGTTGAAATACAATCATAAACCCAGATTTTTGTCTGTAGCCTATGCCTATTGAACTAACAAGTCAATCTCGCAAATGGGCCATTTATAACTGTTTGTAGTCTTAACTGGCACATAATAATGGCACAATTGCGAGAAAATAGCCTAACATTCATTTTTTAAAAGTTTGTCCAGGTGTTTCTTGCTCAGAGATTGAGCTCCTCTGTCCAACTTTCATCACTCAAACTCCCCTTTCAGATATATCTACAGTTATGTACATGCGCAAAAGGGATTTATTGAAGCATAAGGCCAGAGGTGTGGTATATGGCCAATATAACACGGCTAAGGGCTGTTCTTAAGCATGACTCAACACGGAGTGCCTGGACACAGCCCTTAGCCGTGGTATATTGGCCATATATCACAAACCCCAGAGGAGCCTTATTGCTATTATAAACTGGTTACCAACGTAATTAGAGCAGTAAAACTAAATGTTTTGTCATACCTGTGGTATACGGTCTGATATACCATGGCTTTCAGCCAATCAGAATTCAGGGCTCAAACCACCCCGTTTATAATTATAAAGCAGATTCGAGCCCTGAAAGCTGATTGGCTGAAAGCTGTGGTATATCAGACCAAATCAAATCAAATGGTATTTGTCACATGCGCTGAATACAACAGGTGTAGACCTTACAGTGAAATGCTTACTTACAAGCCCTTAACCAACAATGCAAACCATATACCATGGGTATGACAAAAAATGACTTTTACGTTGGTAACCAGTTTATACTAGCAATAAGGCACCCTGGGGGTTTGTGGTATATGGCCAATATACCACAGCTAACGGCTGTATCCAGGCACCCCGCATTGCGTCATGCTTAAGAATAGCCCTTAGCCGTGGCATATTATCCATATGACATACCTTATTGCTTAATCATAGCAGTCAAACAAGTTAAATCGACAACCATTAATGGAAAATGACCTGGCGAATAAGGGTGAATTATCTTTTCTCTTGCGACATATTCAAATTAGTTTATTATGTCATGTCATAGGTCACAAGAATGATAATTTAGATGAAAACCGAATTTTGCTTCTAAAGTTGTTACAAGTTATGTTGATATTCCTTCTTAATTGGCTCGATTATGTTATGGGGAAAAAAATTATTGTATAAATGTGGCAACTCCTCTCTTGCTATGGGAGAAAAAAAATAAGCTTGTTTTCAGCCCTTTTGGACAGGTTTGAATGGTTATTGGATTAGACATTTTAGCTACAACTTGCAACCCTGTCCACCATTGAGATTTCAACAAAACACTTCTTGTGGCCTGTGCCCAAATTACTTTCTAGGACAAATGTATTTTGACTAATGTTTTGTCTAAACACAGTCTAATCTGTTATGATCCACCTGGCTAAAAATTTATCAAAGCCAAATACTCCTAAAACATATGAAGCTAGAAAATCCCATCACCCTCAACCATAAAAGTTAGGTAGTTAGTTTGATAACTAAATAAATGTAGTTAGCTAGATGCTAGATGGTACTCTCACACCCAGAACTAAAATCTCGTGTTATTGCGTCAAATGCCCGATTGTGTTAACTAAATGCATCTGTCCACGAGAGATTATGGTAAACTAGTCATTATAAAATTGACATGTCAATGTATGACATTGGGCCTACTACATTTTGTCTTCTGAGGATGCTCTGCCTGGTGTGGCACTCACATACACTGTGGTGGTCAGCTGTGTAGAACATTTGCCATGTTCTTAGTCAGGCTATCTAACTAGATCTGAGATTTCTGTTTTCAATGCAAGGCTAACGAAACTCAGCAAGGTCAGCAACTTGTGGGTACTAGCCTGCAAGCCTAGTAGCAAGTGTCAAGTTAGTTAACTAACCAAGTCAGTGCTAACTAGCTAGCTAATACATAACGTTAGCTACAGCCACATATGGATTGTCGGATTGGGGAAAAAATAATTACTTCTTTATTTTGCTAGTTATAATTACGTTAGCTATCTGTCTAAAGCACTGCTTTGATAGCTAGGCTAACTATAGTTAGCTATTGAGGAGGCTAGCTAACGCATGTAGTCAGTCAAAACAACTTTGTTTACCTGTAGCGCTGTCGCTTGCAAGGTTCGTGGGGGTCTTTCTCAGATTCCTCGAGCTCAGGCGATAGCTAACTAGTTGCTGATGTCCCGTTCTCTCTCAAAAAGTCCATACACTTCAAAAAGACCCGTTCACATCAGCATTGTCCATCTGGTGGCTTCAGGAGACGACTCTTTCCCTCTGAACACCAGTGTTGATGGACGCTCGCGAGGAGGCCGAGAATCCTCGGGGTTTCCAAGCCCGCCTTGCAGGCTGTAGCCCCTGCACATGCAACCCCGAGCTCGAGGGTTGTTGTTGTATTTTCTTTGGAAATTGCCTTTCTTCTTTGGAAAAAAATTAGTTTTATTCATATGTATTTTGTTTTGGTGAATTAATGTACAAATCCTTATTTTGCCGCTGAAAGAATAAAACGCTAACTTTTTTCTCTTGCGATAAGTTGGTTAACATTAGCTTGAATTAGCTACCCATCTAACAATTAGCTAGCTAACATTCGCGAGTCAGCGATGAAAGACCAGAGACGGGTGGGTTCAATCCAGCTGCGAGCTCGACAGACAGGTTGTGCTAGTTACCTCACATCGAGAGTCTGCTGCGTACATGACCCTGAACTCACACCCAAATTCAGTCAGATCAAATAGATTCTAATCAGACTCCGAGACTGTTTATGCAATGTAAACAACAAGTATGATACAATGTGTTCGGTCTGAATACCACAGGAAGTGAGGGAGCGAGGGGGCACTGGCTGCGTTTACACAGGCAGCCCAATTCTGATCTTTTTTTCACTCATTGGTCTTTTGACCACTCAGATCAGCTCTGTAAAATATTTGATAAAAAAATATCTAATGTCATTGTTCAAAAGACCAATTAGTGGAAACAAATATCAGAATTGGGTTCCCTGTGTAAACGCTGCCTAAGAGAGCGCACAACCCAAAACCACATTCAGAAATATGAAGTTGTAGTAGAACGTACATGGGCTATAGGATGATTTAATATGACTGAGCTCTGTCAAAGTGTTCCTGGATTACATGATCATATCAGGAATGATGTTGCTCAATGTTCGCCTGTCCAGACAGAATGGACTATTCTCCTATTCACACTACTGAGTGGCAACCCAGACAAAATGGTTTTATGTACTAATAGCACAAACTCATGGCGCAACGAACGCCATCAATGCCACGCCCCTTTTGAATTCCTTAACTCGATGCTCTCAGAGTTCTTGCTATTAGTTCAAATAAACATAACTGCATATTTGGACGTAGTTAGCTATTTTACAGTGAAAGCGAGGTAAGTTATCGTATAAGAAATGACCAATAATCTAGTATTTTCAGTAATTCTAGACTTTTATTTTAATCAGTTATGTGTATTGCTTTATCATCTTGTACACTGGAAGTGATCTTTACTCACTCTGGCCAACATTGTTGTTGTATGCTAACGTTAACGTTAACTTGTTGGTTCCTTGAAGCGTGTAGGCGTTTTAGTTAAAGTAGCTGTTTAAAAATCTACTCGCTGTTAATATCCTTTATGTAAAAAGACAATCAATAATATCAATCGTGTAAGCACATGGAAATACTTTTTTGCGAATTATTTATTTCAGACTCATGACTTAATTGGCGGGTTGTGAGTGACGGACTGTGAAACTCAATCTCCCATGATTCCGTAGTAACGGAACTGACCGTGTCATTTGCAATATAATTATTAAACTTAATTGTGTTGAATTCTGCACCAAACTTTAGAAAAAACATTGACTCTGCATATATTTTTTGGCATATAATGTATAATAGTAGAAGAACAATTGTATTTTTCATTTTAATTAGATCTGTGATAGTGTAGCTAGTTTCTTTATTGGCCTGTATGTGTCCAATATACAAATTACTGGTATGTCTTGTCTGTACAACCATTAAAATGATCAGAGAGAAAAAAATGAGAAAATCCTTTGTGCCTTAGTAGTTGCTCAGTGAAACATTATTGACAGTATATTGAGATGTTATTCACAGTACACTCAGAAAAGAAAGAGTGCTTTGGGACACCATTTGTACTTGTAGGGCAGGGTTCTTCAATTCTGGTCCTGGAGGGCCAAAACACCTCTGTTTTTCATCCTCTCCTTCTAATCAGGGGCTAATTCAGACCTGGGACACCAGGTGAGTGCAATTAACTACCAGGTAGAAATAAAAAACAGAAGTGTTTCGGCCCTCCAGGACCGGAATTGAAGAACCCTGCTGTAGGGGAACCCTCTTAAAAAAAAAAAAATCCAGATGAACCATTTAAGATCAGATAATACTCTTTATTTATTAGAGTGTTTATGATTCATTGTCCCACAGCTCACTGTCTTTATTGATGATCAGGTCGAACACAAAATGACTGTTGTAGCCTAAGTTTGTGTGCTGGGACAGCATCAGTGGACTAGACTGGGAAGGCTTACTGTCCAAGTCTACAGGGGCAACAGGGATGTGACCTGGCAATAGTGTAACCAGTAACACTATGACTTTGGCAAGACTGCCCTACAAAGGCAAAATACAGTAACTACAAATTTGGTAAAACATCTTTGATCTGTTTCCTGACACAAGAACAAGCCAGATGATCAAAATATATAATGGATTATCAGAAATTGCTGTCTGTCTAGAAAGAAAATTGTTTATAGTCAGATTGTGCAGTAAAAAACATTGCGTCTTTCCTGCGTTTTGCCTTTGTAGGGCAGAAGTGGGAGCCTAATAATAATATCTTACTACCAATATATAGCAACTATACAATCAAATATAGGCCTACAACATTTTACAATCATGGCGGAACCCAGTCTAAGTAGGCTACCCCTCAAGTAAGGTCATAGAAAAAAACAAAATAAAACTGTTGCATTAGGTCCAACGGACCTCCTAAATCTTTCTGTTGAGCACTTTGGCATTACAAGCCAGTTGCTAATAGTACTCCTAGAGTCATTGGAAGTACTATACAGATATCCAGTTTCTGTCTGGTTCTCTGCTCTGTCATGACCTCCAGAGAGTCTGGAGTCAGTCAAATAACTAACTCCAATAACTGAATCTGCCTTCTTAATCAGTTTATTGATCTTGTTTGTGATGTGGACAATTTAATATCCTCTACTTACTAAATAATCTAAATAATAAATAATCTAAATAATCCTCTACTTACTACCTCATTATGGAATTATGATTCACATAATATGACATGATGGTATGAGTATGATATTAAACAATTAGCCTTTTGTGTTTATATTGACAGATTTTAAAGATGCACATTGTCCTCAATTTCAGAAATGCCGGGATCAACAACAAAAAAAAGTGTCCAAGCTGTGCCCAAACCCTTGGGGTGAGGGCAAAAATAGAAAGAAAAAAATGGAGGCTTGAAAAAATCTAAGAAGGGGTCCAGGACTGACGCTAAATTCGTCAGACTGTGGATAATGCATACCTCCATATGAGTTAAAATATTGTCGTCACAAGCATATCGGTTGATATTTTGTTTGTTGAGGCAGACACATCCACCAGCAAGGAGACTTGTGTGACTTTCCTTTGAAATTGTACAGAAATAATGAACATAACATACTTTGTAGCTTCAGCTTCTTAGTCTAAAGGCAGCAGGGTATGTCCCCATCCTGCTTCTGGGGGAAAAGAAGAAGGGGTTTAAAGCCCAGGTGGGGGTTTAAAGCCCAGGTCCTCACCTCCTCTAGGAACCTGTCAGAGGAGGAGACGGTGGATCACACTGCCCTTAGATTTTGTTTGAGAAGTTACTCTACTCTAAGTATACTTGATTGATATACACTGAGTGTATAGTGTGTATCTATTTTCTTTGTCTCCACTGTCCACAATGTGAGTGTAGTCATCTCTATGGTACAGCACATTATCTTAGTTTTTTGTCAGTGTACCAGCAATGACAGTGAAAGTCGACTAAGTTATCAACAGCATGTATTGCTATGTTTGAGGCAACGACTAAAATACATGACCATTCGATCAGGTTTAAGAATAAAGTGAATGATGACTGAAATAAAATATGAATACCAAATTAGTCTCTTCCCTCACCCCTCCATTTGTGCATTCACGCGCGTCTCTGTCATATGCACGTGTCTCAACAAAGAGTAGTATGTAAGTCAGGAAAAAATTCTAACATAAAAGGTTTTTCTTGAATTCTTCCATTTCACCTAACTTGATGTGGTTTGTTCATTTTGTTGTTGTTGTTGTTGTTGGTGGTGGTGGTGGTGGTGTCATTGCAGTGGCAGAATATGGCGGAGCACCTGGGTCCACCTACCCACCATCACATAAAACCCACTCCTATCCCTACACCTGTGAAGGAGCTCTCTCTCTCTCTTGTCATGCTGAAAGACCCAGCCACGTTTCATCTTCAATGCCCTTGCTGATGGAAGGAGGTTTTCACTCAAAATCTCACGATACATGGCCCCATTCATTCTTTCCTTTACACGGATCAGTCGTCCTGGTCCCTTTGCAGAAAAACAGCCCCAAAGCATGATGTTTCCACCCCCATGCTTCACAGTAGGTATGGTGTTCTTTGGATGCAACTCAGCATTCTTTGTCCTCCAAACACGACGAGTTGAGTTTTTACCAAAAAGTTCTATTTTGGTTTCATCTGACCATATGACATTCTCCCAATCCTCTTCTGGATCATCCAAATGCACTCTAGCAAACTCCAGACGG